AGCTCCCCCCGACCTGCATCATGAGGAAACTGGCTTGAAATCTTTGGGCACGATCTGGGAGAAAACTAATTGTCACTAAAAAGCACTCCAGATAACCTTGAGCTGAAAAATTGTAGCCAAAACAATCCATATTGTTACTAAAGTGGAATATTTTTTATTTCCTTAATCATCTGTTACGAAACATCATAGTAAATAATGTTACGAAATGCCTCGTCTAATCATTCCTTATTACGTAATAACTCGTTCTCATCATACCCGTTATGTTATTTTAACTCTACCCATTGAAGTAGGATTTCTTTCCTTCTATACTTCTTATAATGACATTGACACACAAAATCAATATCAAAAGAATCTGTAAAGAATTGTAGCCTGTAGAGTGAGCACGAGCCAAATGTGAACGGACCGACGGGGTGATTACAATATACGCCCATCTTACGTCTGGGCGTATAAAAATGATATTCTTGTATCCAGTGGAATATAGCCTGTGGAATAAATATGGTATTTGGCTGACATTTTCCGTCAATAACGCTAAAGATGGCGTCTGCTAGATGTGGGCGTATAAAAATAAAACAATTCAAAAAATAATTTTATTACTGTAAATTCAATTCATTGAGAGACATAGCTAGTTTCTAAAATAAAAACATTCTAGCTAAACAAACAAAAACAAATTCCAATATATACAAACCATTTTCCCCTTTAAAAAAAACAAAATATTGGACTAAACATAAATAGTGATAAAACTTGGAAAATATTCTAATAAATAATGTACATGTAAGTAAAAAAAAAAATTGACAAAAAAGCACATCACACAATCTGAAAAAAGAAAATCACATATAAATATTCTGACTGTAGGTATAGTGTGAAATCAGTCATTTTCATGGATCAGCAAATTTTGTTAGCAATTTAAAGTGATACTACGTCTTAGAATAAACATAAAATTTAAAAACTTTAAACTTGGCCAATAAGAGCATATATTCATCATTAGATATACCTGGTGTCATAAATAACATAACAGGATCCTTATATAATCTGATAAATCCAAAAAACTTAATAAAAATGCAATTAACTATTGAAAAATGTTTAATATTATGATTAAGCATTTTTCAATAATTACTTAGTTTTATGAATTTTCCAATTTTCTAGATTTTACAGGGATTCTGTTGTAACTTTATGACACCAGGTAAGTTAACTGATGAATATATACTCATATTGACCATTCTTGAGAATTTAATTTTTATAACTCAACTGATATGATATATGATAATTGAAATGGAACATCTGGATACAAAGATTTAAAGGAATTTTTCACTGTTAGAGTAGTGTTCTGCAAGACAGAATCTGAAATATCTTACTCAAGAGTTCCAATTGTTTAAATAACTGTGCAATACCTGCGACACCAGATCCTGCTTTTTTTCCCACTGAACACAAGTCTGTAGGTTTTTGTTGTTTGTTTCAAATGTATGTCAATAGCAGGACCAATACTTATACTTATCAAATTTTAGATAAAAAAGTTTTATTCATCAAAAACTGTATAGAATATACCTTATGAATATATATGTTAAAGATAGCTTGCCAGGCAAGGTAAATTACGCCCTCTACCAGCTGTCAGAAATGATAACAAGTCTGTATGTGGATTTAATATGTGAAACCAATCATCTGATTTTTACTATGTCAAGCTTTACTGAGATCTCATACCAAGTTTCATCAAGATCGAATAAAAAATGTAGTCTCTATCAGGCCTACAAGCCAAATTAGACACATTGAATTAATTCAAGGGCAATAACTCCAAAAACTTGATCACCCGATTGTTAGCAATTTCAACTTGACTGAGATCTTGTCCATATACACATGCATACCAAATTTCATTGAGATCAGATAAAAACTGCACCCTGTATCATGACTACAAAACAAATTTGTAGGGTTTTTACTTAATCAAGGGCAATAACTCCAAAACCATTCATCTGATTATGACCAAATTCAAACTTGACCGATATATCATTAATATATACATGCATTAGTTTCATCAAGATCTGATAAAAACTGTAGTCTCTATCGTGCCTACAAAGCAAATTAGACGCATTTTTACTAAGTCAAGGGCAATAACTCTGAAACTGTTCATTCAATTACTACCAATTTCGAATTTGACCGAGATCTCATCAATATATCCATACATACCAAGTTTCATCAAGATCTGATAAAAACTGTAGTCTCTATCGTGCCTACAAGGCAAATTTGACGCATTTTTACTAAGTCAAGGGCAATAACTCTGAAACTGTTCATTCAATTACTACCAATTTCGAACTTGACCGAGATCTCATCAATAAATACATGCATACCAAGTTTCATCAAGATTGGATAAAAACTGTAGCCTCTATCATACCTACAAGAAATGTGAATGGACAGACCGATGGACAGGGGCGACGGCAATATACGTCCACATTTCCATATGGGCATACACAGCCAATTTCAATATTAATATGTATTTCAGCCTCACAACTTTGAAAATAAATCCACATCACAATATTAGAAATTTAAGATAAACAGTTATAGACAAAAATATTTGATCATGAAACAATATGAAAGAATATTTAAAATAACGAATATGTACCCATAAAAATTTATATGGACAAAATGAGATTTTTTCATGATTTTTAATAATAATTTAAAAGAAATAAGAAATATTTACAGGTATAAAAGAAAGGACCTGACTGAATATATATGACTTCATTTAAAGACGACAACACACTCAGCAATATTCGTTGGCGAACCTCACTGTCAAACATGTGGAAGCATGTGGAAGATGATAACTGACATCAATTTTGAACCCTGGCATGATATTGGCATATCATCGTTAATATACCTGTAACACGAGGCCATGTTATTGTGATTGACAAAGAAAATGATTTAAAGATGACTTTGTCGAAACTTTTTTTTCGGCATTCTTCATGTTAAAGATGGGTTCCCTTATTTTCATTTATGAAAATCAAAATGCTTATACTTATATGAATAGAAAGTAGATGTGTTCTAATGACTTGGAAAAATACCAGTTTGTCTCACATGTCCATAATTAATTCATAAATAGCTAAATTAGAAGAGAATTACCAGCAGAATTCCAATGAGTGACTGATCAAAAAAAGGTCAAAAAGTCTTTTTTTGTTTATCCAGACTGTACATACATGGATATTGATGATTGGTTAAAATTCTTAATTATATGCAATAAGAACATAATGATATGATAAAGAATACATGCTAATTCATTAGAAACACCAATTAATCAAATAGTTTACTTAATTTGACACTAAAAAATAAGGAAACCCATCTTTAAGGGATGATACCATTAGACTTCCCTTGCATTATCTTAGACATTAAATACTAATTCCCATAGTTCATTTATAAAATTCTAACATATAAGGCCATACAAAATAAATAGTCTTTTTTACAGGCCTTTTTTTTCAAAAATTGGGGCGAGAGGGTGAATTTATTATTTATTATTTATAAGCGCTTTTTTAGATTTTCAACTGGAATAAATCGGAGCGAGTGAAAGCATTTATTATTTATTACCACAAATTTAATGTACATTTAATATTAAGGCAACAATCAGGCATTTTTAGACCTGTAAAACAGACTATTTATTTTGTATGGCCTAAAGAAAACTGACCAATGGTTTTTGATTTAAGATCGAAGGCATTGTAAAGAGGTTTTCTAAATTTTGTATGTGTACCGGAGACACTGATAGCATCAATTTGCATCATTCCAATTTTCAATCAGACATCTGTGGTTCCCGCAATTTCACTATAACTAAGTGTTTGATGATGTCACTAATCCCAAATATGCTTTATCATATAAGGCCCTTTGACGTCATCAAACACTTAGTTATAGTAGAATTGCAGGAACAACAAACGTCTGATTGAAAATTGGAATGGTGCAAATTGATGCTATAAGTGTCCCTGATACACAAACAATCCCTGTAAGCAAAAAATAAATCTGGATTTCTGTTGATTTAGCACATTCCATAAATATTCGATATCATTCGATTTACAAATAACAACAGTAATTGCCCTAACTTTGTGTGTAAATAAGTAATAAAATTTGTGACCTTTGACCTTCTTAAAACAACATCAACACAAATCTGTTTCCACCAGCAAAAAACTCACTCAATAGTCATTTTAAAGATTGAAAGTTATAAAACCACATTCTTGAGCTTTTTTGCAATTCAACCACTCCATATTCTGTTGGCAGCCACAAAGCTTCCGTTCATGAAATGTTTGTTACCATGCTGATATTATTCATTATAGTAACAGCGACCATGACTTTGTCGAAACTTTTTTTTCGGCTTTCTTCATGTTAAAGATGGGTTCCCTGATTTTCATTTATGAAAATGAAAATGCTAATACTTATATGAATAGAAAGTAGAGGTGTTCTAATGACTTAGTTTGACTTAGTTTGTCTCACATGTCCATAATTAATTCATAATCAACTAAATTAGAAGAGAATTACCAGCAGAATTCCAATGAGTGACCGATCAAGAAAGGTCAAAAAGTCTTTTTTTTGGTTATCCAGACTGTACAAACATGGACATTTATGATTAGTTAAAACTCTTAATTATATGCAATAAGAACATAATGATATGATTAAGAATATATGATAATTCATTAGAAACACCAATTAATCAAATAGTTTGCTTAATTTGACACTTAGAAAATAAGGAAACCCATCTTTAACCATTGCCATAAAATATCTCCTAGGATAACACAATCAAAGCACGTATCACAAATATACTAGCTTCAGCACTCTTCACTGTTATTACTTCTATTCAATAAATTCAACTGAGTTTCTAGATTGTTATTGATGTTATTATTCATATTGTTATTGTTGAATGACAAATTATCAAGTTTCATGGATTTTTCACAATTATCTTGTTTCATGATATATTTACACGGAGACAGTTTAATGTCTGATTTACTGTCGTCAAGTTTTTCCGCTTTTACTAATAAAGCTCCAAGTGTCTTTTTCACACGTAACATTGGTAAACGAGCTTTCGGATTATGAGCCCAACATTCTTTCATCAGTTTTGTCATTTGCATCAAAATCTACAAAAGAAAAGAAAGAGAATTTTTATTTTCTTAAAGGCAACTCATAGCGAACTTGTAAATTGAGAAATCAAATACAGTGGATCCTCGTTTATCTGCACAATTCCATTCCTAATAAAATGTATTACAGTCTAACTTGGTTTAACGGTCACCTGTATTCAGCACCACCCTTTAATGAACGGTCACCAAAAATACATCCCGTGCAATTTTCAACCAAATTTACCTCTATTCAACACCACCCTTTTAATGCGGCCAGCGGTCACCATTTTCTTAACACTAAACACTTTCTCGCCAAATTATACTTCATTGACAGAAGTGTAAGTGCTTGATAATCAAAACTACACAATTTGAATTATTGTGAAGGCAAGAATAGACTTGTAATATAGGACTCTTATGAGTTGAAATCTACGTACTTCATTAGAAGACCATCTATTAGGTATAGTAGGTCTCTGTAAGTCAGTCACTATCACTTTCTTCATGTCATCAAAACTAGGATCACTAGGCACAACATCCCAATATGGTATCTGATAATCTTCACTGAAACCTAGAATAATATAATATAGATAAAACTAGGATCACTAGGTACAACATCCCAATATGGTATCTGATAACCTTCACTGAAACCTAGAATAATATATTATAGATAAAACTAGGATCACTAAGTACAACATCCCAATATGGTATCTGATAATCTTCACTGAAACCTAGAATAATATAATATAGATAAAACTAGGATCACTAGGTACAACATCCCAATATGGTATCTGATAATCTTCACTGAAACCTAGAATAATATAATATAGATAAAACTAGGATCACTAGGTACAACATCCCAATATGGTGTCTGATAATCTTCACTGAAACCTAGAATAATATAATATAGATAAAACTAGGATCACTAGGTACAACATCCCAATATGGTATCTGATAATCTTCACTGAAACCTAGAATAATATAATATAGATAAAACTAGGATCACTAGGTACAACATCCCAATATGGTATCTGATAATCTTCACTGAAACCTAGAATAATATAATATAGATAAAACTAGGATCACTAGGTACAACATCCCAATATGGTATCTGATAATCTTCACTGAAACCTAGAATAATATAATATAGATAAAACTAGGATCACTAGGTACAACATCCCAATATGGTATCTGATAATCTTCACTGAAGCCTAGAATAATATAATATAGATAAAACTAGGATCACTAGGTACAACATCCCAATATGGTATCTGATAATCTTCACTGAAACCTAGAATAATATAATATAGATAAAACTAGGATCACTAGGTACAACATCCCAATATGGTATCTGATAATCTTCACTGAAACCTAGAATAATATAATATAGATAAAACTAGGATCACTAGGTACCCTAGAATATTAATATAAAATTTCAGCTATCTGCCTCACTTATCAAAACATAAATTAGGTGTCTGGTTGTTCATACAATTTTACAAAATCCTGATATGGAAGTATATATTCTCAAGAAAGAAAGAATGAACCATTTTATTTTTACAAGGATTACAATTTGTGGTCCACTTGGTATTGATTTAAGCTAAGATTCCATATAAGCGTCATGCGGATGCGTCATGCGGACATAAATGGCCCTTGCGGATCCATCATGCGTCAAATAAGATCCCATATGTGCTTTAAACGTATGCGTTATCTTTCTTTTGACGCACGGACCTCTAGACAGATGGATGCTTTAGTGCATAAAAACGACAGGAAATCCCCACAAAATACGTCACATTTGGGAGATTTACGCGCGAAAACGTATGACGGAGACCATTTGACGGATACCGCTTCCGCATATATGGAATCATACCCTCTTAAACCAACCATTTCAATTTTAACGCATGACAGATCCGCACGGCGCGTATATGGAATCTTAGCTTTATCCAGCATGGATTTTTTTTTAAATTAAATATCATAGATATCATTATAAAATATTTATTTTTTTATCTACTAAATCTCATAGAAAATTCAGAAATAGTACATTACCTCCAACAACAGCTCTTCGACTGATTTCCCATAAAACCAAACCAAAAGCATAGACATCCACACATTTGAAGGAATCAAAGAAATTTGGATTTAATGTTTCTTCCAATAACTCTGGCGCCATGTAACGCTTGGTACCAACTTTATTATTATGTCCAAAATCTAATACATTATCTTCTTGTGTGTGAGTAACAGCTAGGCCAAGATCTCCAATTACAGCAGTACCATTGGTTTTTACCAAAATATTTTTAGATTTGATATCTCGATGAGCTATAGCTGGTTTCCCATGGTTACCAACTATTTCCGTATGCATATGAACCAATCCTGCTGCAGCCGTCAAACATAAAGTTAACATTTCTTCGATGCTTAATATATGTGATATCAAATAATCGTACAGAGAACCGTGATGATGATAATGGGTTATTAACCACAGTTGTGTACACGAATTCCGTGACGTCATATCAGATGCGTAGTATCCCAATATGTTTTCGTGTCGTAATAAACAAGTGTTGTATATCTGTGTTTCACGTGACCAACTGGCCTCGTCTCGAGATGAAAAGATTTTGACTGCCACTGGTTCATCATGATAGGATCCCCTCCACACTTCACCATATCTTCCTTTACCTGCAACAATATATTAATTATATCCTTGATGATTTTCTCTGGTGATCCCAGCCAAAATTCTCAAAAACTCTTACACGCACTATATTTTTGTGGTATTTCACGATAGAATGGATGTCAGGGGTAAAATTTACACACCTATATAAAATATTTGCCAAGGATGCCAAGTTTATGAACTCAGACAGAGACACAGAGTTCTATCAGGTGTTTCTGAAAGAGGGTGCATGCCTCCCTCCACCTGAAACAACTGCCACAGTACTTAAAGGGGCAATGAACTCAGACAGAGACACAGAGTTGCATCAGGTGTTTCTGAAAGAGGGTCCAAGCCTCCCTCCACCTGCAACAACTGCCATTCTACTTAAACGGGGCAAGCTCGTTTAACAGATTTTGGACAAAAGCTCTTGTCAAATTGTCACCAATATTCTTAATATAAAATAAACAAATCTATAAATAGAACATACCAATACAATCATGAAGTTGAACTTGTCTAGCTACAGTTTGTTGGACCAGAAATGGAAGACCTGAGCCACTACCAGAAGTACAAGACTGTTCCAATATTTCTTGTAATGTGCTTTCTCCCACTTGTGTTGCTCTGAGCCCATCATCTTCATCTAATAGCCTGCGTTCTCGTTGAAACAGTTCATCCATTCTTTGTTTGTGTAGATGTCGACAGGCTATGACTATAATCGGTATTAAGATACTGACTATGATAATCGGTATTATAACAGCTAGTATTAACGGTAGGTGAAGTAAAAGTTCATTTTCATCTTCGGTACTTTCTGAAATTAAAATTTAAATAATCAATACATTTCATAGATCCTGCTGAGCATATATATAACATAGGCTATATCGTAGCCCGTAGAGTGAGCACGAGCCAAAAAAGTGAGAAAAAAACGAACGCGATACCAGAGTTTTATGCGATATCTCTCAAGAAAATCATCGGATCCTCACCAAATTCAATAGTACACATCTTCATAATAATATTGACACATACAAAAGATCAAAAGAATCCTTGGAGAATCGTAGCCTGTAGAGTGAGCAAAAGCAAAATAAGTAAAAAAACGAACGCGATACCAGAGTTTTATGCGATATCTCTCAAGAAAATCATCGGATCCTCACCAAATTCAATAGTACACATCTTCATAATAATATTGACACATACAAAAGATCAAAAGAATCCTTGGAGAATCGTAGCCTGTAGAGTGAGCAAAAGCAAAATAAGTAAAAAAACGAACGCGATATCAGAGTTTAATGCGATATCTCTAAAGAAAATCATCAGATCCTCACCAAATTCAATGGGGCACATCTTTATAATGATATTGACACACATACAAACAATCAAAAGAATCAATAGAGAATTGTAGCCTGTAGAGTGAGCACAAGGTAAATGTGAACAGACGGAAGGACCGATTACTTACGTGTGGGCGTATAAAAATGAAATGAAAAAAAGGAAAGCAAACTCTTTTTCCCTTTTCATTTGACGAGAGATCTATTATATTCACAGCCTTCATATACTAGTGTTTAGTCCCATTATAACGACTTGACCCTTGTTCCATATCGGTTCCATTGACCTCCATCACTGACAAGAGAAAACAAGTAAGCTATCTCACTAAACATGAGCCAGAAGTCATCAGCCAGTATATTCTAAAGCCAAATGAAATCATTGTACAAACCTTCTTTTCCACTGGTTGGTAATGGAGCTAGGGTAGCTGTTAACAAATCATTACACCAGTTTCCTTGGCAACAGGATACAGCACCAACATGATTTTTACTGTGACAGGACATTTGACTGCTGCTATCTCTGTCAAAACATCCTTTACTTTTAACAATAACATTGTTGGTATTACTTATAGATGAATAACACTGAAATATCACATAGAATTGGTTCAATTTTCAGAGGGAAGTTTGGCATAGAGTTTGCAAGCTGATGACAGTCGAGTTCTCAAAAGCCATGGCATCATATTTTTCTAAACTTGCAAGCTTAGATGGTCCCAGGACCAGGTCAAAATGGCCTTCCAAAAGTCAACATGGTCCTAAAAAAAAGTCGAAATGGCCCAAAAAATTACTCTTTGAATTCGACCAAATTTTCAAGTCAAAATTCCACCTAAAAAAAGTCAAAATGGACCCAGGAAAAAAAAATTTTTGGGGCCATTTTGACCAAATTGTGGGACCATTTTGGTCTAGGGCCATTATGACTATAGCCCGCTTGACATACCGGTACTATGAATTGAACATCAATCTCAAACTATGTCATTATTTTGAACCCATATTTCAATTCACATAAAAAATATTACCGATATATTAGTTTCACAGCTTTCTTTTCCCTCACATTTCTCTAGTGGTGAACATTTACAGACAAAATAAACATGGCTTACGTTGTTGAATTTGGAGAGATTTGGTAGACCTACAAAGTAAATTTTAAGAACAGTTACAAGGTCTGATTTTATATGAAGTTTGTTTTTTCTTCAAATTATGTTTCCACATAAAACTATCAATTGCAAATACATTAGGCCTATTATAGACTATCTTATAACATGCTTGTTTCACCAAGCTTCAACAGTAGCCAGTTGCCTTTGGTTAATTCTAGGCCAATAAGATAATAAGTTATAATTCCATTATAGTGTTCCGCGGGAGATCTCTGGGCTGGGAGTGGAGAGCCTATTCATAGGCTAGTTATTTTATGATTCGACACTCACTATGAAGCCAAATATTGAATAAAATGGCGTCTTTTTGTTTACAAAAGGTGTAAAAAGTTTCAACTTGTTATTTCATTACTTTTTCAATTCACAGTTTTGTAAGCTGCAACATATTTCATATTATTGCTCCTGATTGACAATGCTATCATCTAAATTCTTACCATAGATATAAATGGAATCTGTTAGAAATAACACCAGAATTATGGCAATCATCGTGCCAAGACTTCCAAAACAGCCTCTGTTTGAGTACAAATTCTGTCCCACTCTTCTGAAAAACAGCCTCGAAAGTAGCGACTCAAGTGGCTCCGTTCAATTTCTTGACTTCAAATATGATAAAAAAAAATTAAATATCAAAACTTAATTCTTTGTTTTTTTGTTCTAAAATACAAAATGAAATAATAATTATGAAGAAACGACTTGATATATATAATGTATAGAAAGGGCACACGATACTTTAATGAAACTCATTGCTTCGTTTTTTGATTTTCGTTTCAAAATCTAAATCTTCTAAAGATTCTTTTTGACGATCTTTATATGACGATACATCAATTTTGATAGCTTGTGATATAATATGTCTAATGCGCATGCGAGCAGGAAGTTAAACGCCATATTGAATTGTTTTGACTGAAATCTCAAAAGATTTTGCAATTAAAATGTGGAATTAAGAAACATTTTCCATACAAACACTCAAACTAATTAGCTGAATGGTCGATTGATACAATGACTGTATTGTCAAGTAGAATTTGACGACAGAAATCCAAGAAATCATCGTTAACTGACTTGCTGAAAGAGGTAAAGTAAAAAATATCTGAAAATTTTTTGTGTAAATTGTAAAAAAATTGGTCATTTAAAGATTTTTTTATTACAATAGAATATATTCGCTATGTTCTAGATAGATCTGTACTAGCGTTCCTGCTTAAAGTATATAACCCATTTGCCTACTTTAAAGTTATTTACATTGAAATTGAGCATTGAGTGAGCTTTGTTATTGAAGTTTTTTTTTTCTGTCACTTTACAAATAGATCTTGACCTTATTGAAGATAAAATAATCATTTGCATGCCATTTTCGTCTGAATGGTTTCATAACCGTTTAAAAATATGGAATGATGATTTTTTCATTTGAAATAAGGTGACATCTGATCAAACCCAATTTCGTTCTTTTGGCATCCCAACATGAAAGTTTAGTTCAACTGAAATGTAATAGGCTACTGTTGTCACTTCCAGGATGTTAATGCCACTGACTTTCTCACTGTCCGTTATGACTCAAAATAAACTAGCATGACCTGATGAACTTTTGTTGTGAATCAATCCTTTACCAGTTTCAAAGTTTCAAGAAATCTCCCTTGAGAAAGTGCATTTTTGGATCCTTGTTTGGAAGAAAAAAAAAATAGGACCAGATCTTAATTAAGCTCCAAATAAGCTGATAGGATTTAAGCTTATTTTAAAAATTCTGGGGTTCTTGTAACTAGTAATTCTATATATATATTTGTGAGCATTAGTTATCATAGCTCCCTGTCATAGGTTTTTCATAAATAATTAGCTGGCATTTACACAAAAAAGTTAGGCTGTTCTCCAATATTTCCTAGTGTTAAAGATATTAAAAAGCTCATTATGATTTCACTAGCAACTTTCATTGAATACTACAATTTAAGTCAATATATATTTTTCAGTTATTATCAATGTAATGTTTCCTGTTACTTCCTGTTTACACAAAAATAAAGCCATAGGGAAATTTTCTGCAGTTGATATAAGCATATAAATTGCTGTATTTTTTTTTGTACAAAATGCGAACGTAGGGTGCATATGCAGTGTATAATGCTTCTTTGTTCGCGTCATAAAATCCCATCGGTGGAGAGGGCAGAAATTTGATTGACTGGCGGTGTCATTAAACTGACAAATGTTCAAGAAGTCTGTCTTTAAACCCTAAATGAAGTGTCTATTATAAGCTTATTAAAAATAAAAGCAAATAAAAAAACGAACGAATGTTTTAGATTTGAATAAAACTGGTTTTACGATTTTTAACAGGAGCCGCGGGCCCGCGGTGGGTCATTGAGTTAAACGCTCTGATAAGCTGAAGGTCCAGGGTTCAATCCCGGCATAGGTCGAGATAATACCTACGGATTTTTCCCCCCTGTCAGTGATGCAGGTAAGAGGGACTGACATGGAAAAAGCGTCTAGTCGTTCGGATTGGACAATAAACCGAGGCCCCGTGTGCTACAGGTTGTGCACGTTAAAGATCCCCCGACAGTTGGAAATCGAAAGAGAGCAGGCTAATGCCGCTGTCCTGGTAAAATTTCCCTCATCGCACCCTGCATGGCGTTGCCCGTCTTCATCAGCCCACATGGTGCAGAAAATGTATTGAATATATAAAACTAAATCTCATACCTCTAGGATGGCTGTGCAGTTATCATTTGACATGTGGCCACATGAAAATATATATATAGTTATGGTTTGATTTGAAAGTGTGTAATTAACTGTATCCTCTTACAAATATTAGAATCCAGCTGACTTCTTTCTTTTCATATATCATTGAAGTGATACAGTCATCTAAATATTTACTTTACTGGTACCAACTGATAGAGCTAGATCTTTTCTATACTTTTGTGAGGTTCAAAGTTCTGAAGTCTGATGACCCTGAATAAGTCATCTTCACTCATAATTCCAGTCAATAATCCTGGAAATATCCAAGCCAAGAAGTTTGGCCAAGGACCAGCTGTTAGAAAGGATCCTTAAAGATGGGTTCCCTTATTTTAATTCATGAAAATGAAAATGCTAATACTTATATGAATAGAAAGTAGAGGCGTTCTAATGACTGGGAAAAATACCAGTTTTTCTCACATGACCATAAATAATTCATAATTAGCTAAATTAGAAGAGAATTACCAGCAGAATTCCAATGAGTGACCGATCAAGAAAGGTCAAAAAGTCTTTTTTTTATTTATCCAGACTGTACATACATGGACATTTATGATTGGTTAAAATGCTTAATTATATGCATAATGATTTCATTAAGAATACATGATAATTCATTTGAAACACCAATTAATAAAAAAGTTTGCTTTATTTGACACTAAAAAATAAGGAAAGCCATCTTTAATTCAATCAATTTGTTATCCCTTCATAGAAAGCTTATAGTTGTTTCTTTCCTTCTTAACTTAAAATTATTTCCTCCAACAGAGCACAAAACTTGTGGAATTACTTTGCTTTTATTTTCTGCTGTTCCCTTTGCCACTTCTGACTCTGCATCTCATCTCTGAGAAGGATTTCTGACTAGTTTCTAGTGATTCTGTTGTTACAGTTGTTAGACTTGAAACATCTGTTTATATTTCTGAGTATTTCAACAGACTAGAGTTAGATGTTGACTCTACTCTTACATGTTATTACTGTGCAGGTGTAGGCAACATATGATAGAAATATTTTGAAATTTTCATCTAAATTAACTTAATCTAACGAAAAGGACAGAATTAAAGTATGGTAGTATAAGCTTATGTCAGGTTAAATTCTTTCTTCTTATATCTTTATGAATATTTATTAATTTTTATACGCCCACACATACGATGGGCGTATATTGTAATCACCCTGTCGGTCGGTCCGTCCTTTCATATTTGGATCGTGCTCACTCTACAGGTTACAATTCTTTACAGATTCTTTTGATTTTTATTTTGTATGTCAATGTCATTATGAAGATGATCCCTATTGATTTTCATGATGATCGGATAATTTTTCACCGAAATATCGTGTCTGACTTGATGTTTTACTCTATTAGCTATATTGTGCAACTCGTGCTCACGCTACAGGCTACAATTCTTTTGATTTTTATTTTGTGTGTCAATGTCATTATGAAGATGATCCCTATTGATTTTCATGATGATCGGATAATTTTTCACCGAAGTATCGTGTCTGACTTGACGTTTTACTCTATTAGCTATATTGTGCAACTCGTGCTCACTCTACAGGCTACAATTCTTTTGATTTTGATTTTGTGTGTCAATGTCATTATGAAGATGATCCCTATTGATTTTCATGATGATCGGATAATTTTTCACCGAAATATCGTGTCTGACTTGACGTTTTACTCTATTAGCTATATTGTGCAACTCGTGCTCACTCTACAGGCTACAATTCTTTACAGATTCTTTTGATTTTGATTTTGAATATTTACCATCCACATGCCGTGGTGGGCGTATATGGCTGTGGTCCACTATCTTTTTGATATCCAGCAATGAGGATGTTTTACTATTTTCACAGAAGTAATTGCAGAAGAAACAGCTCCATAATGATTTTAGACTTTGACAGTTGTTGCTATGATTCCTCACAGCTGATGGACAGATCTCATAATTATCTGTTTTATCAGCTGTTTTCTTTAAAGAATCTTGTTACTAATATTCTTCAGTTTATTACAATTTGCTGCCTTTTACCTCTGACATTTTGCTCTTAAATGTAAGATTCACATTATGATATAGTCAATGATATTCTGAATTATGTATAAAACCAAGATCTACAGCATTTAAAGATGGATTCCCTTATTTTCATTTATGAAAATGAAAATGCTAATACTTATATGAATAGAAAGTAGAGGTGTTCTAATGACTTGGAAAAATACCAGTTTGTCTAACATGTTCATAATTAGCTAAATTAGAAGAGAATTACCACCAGAATTCCAATGAGTGACCGATCAAGAAAGGTCAAAAAGTCTTTTTTTTTGTTTATCCAGACATACATGTACATTTATGATAGGTTAAAACTCTTAATTATATGCAATAAGATCATAATAATATGATTAAGAATACATGATAATTCATTAGAAACACCAATAAATCAATTAGTTTGCTTAATTTGACACTAAAAAATAAGGAAACCAGGAAACGATGTTGGATTACGCAGAATGTCAGAATACTCAGATGTCGGATATCACAGAGTACACTGAACATTCACTGGTTAAAGTTTTATGCAACGTTTCAACATGTTTCCCCAACATAATGATAAGAGGTGGTGGGCAAATTATATAGACATTATGTGCCTGAGGACGACAGGGAGAAACATGTGGAAAGCCGTGTCTATATATATAACATTTAAATATGTGTGTCTTTATTATTCCAGTAAAAGGGCGGTATGCCACCACCACCGCCGCCCGCACCACCACCCGCCCCTACTGGGTTGCCTAAAGTGCCTAAAACTAAAACTAATGCAGGTGGAGCTACAGACAGAAAAGCCTTATTAACTTCTATACACAGTGGAGCCAAATTAAAGAAAACTGTAACCAATGATAGAAGTGCACCTTCTGTTGGTAAGTAGTTTGCTCGCTTATCTGAGGGATTAATCCTGGCATAGGTTGAGAGATGAGATATACTTTCGATTTTTATACGCCCTCACATAAGATGGGCGTATATTGTAATCACCCTGTCCGTCCGTCCATTCACATTTGGTTCGTGCTCACTCTACAGGCTACAATTCTTTACAGATTCTTTTGATTTTTATTTTGTATGTCAGTGTCATTATGAAGATGATCCCTATTGATTTTCATGATGATCGGATAATTTTTCACCGAAATATCGTGTCCGACTTGAAGTTTCACTCTATTAGCTAATTTAAAAACTTGGTGGAATTTCTCAGCATAAATAACTGGTAGTAAATATATATATATCATTGAATTAAAACTATTAAAATTTCTTTAACATGAGACAAATCATACTTTAGTCACTAAAGACTGTTTTATCATTTCTGATTTCTTGTCTGGCAAGCTATCTTTAAACCCTGTTTCCCCTTGTCAATAATTGAAGGAAGCCATTCAAATGGGACCAAAAAAATCTGCTACTGGCTCTTGGAAATCGAAAAAAGTATAGGTTGATGATGCAATCTTGGAAGAATTTCCCAGATCAGTCCAATTAGGTGCAGAAAAGTAGGGTGTAAAACTCCATTTCATTTCATTAGGACATAAGGACATAAAAGTCTGATTAATAAGCTTTTAAGATAGTTTATGATTATAATTTTACAGGAAACAACAATAAAAGGAGTGATCCACCTGGTGGAGGTATCGGAGGAGGTTCGACAGGGGGAGGATCTACTCCAAGTGGTAACAGTGCTGGTCCTGTAGGTCTAGGGGGATTATTTGCTGGAGGTATACCAAAGTTACCAAACAAAGGAAACACTGGACCACCCAAACGAGGTATGTACAAAATACAACTTAAATATATTTCTGATGACGACAGGTGTATATTGTGTTGAAACGTTATGTGCCTTATTAAAGAAGTGTGTTATATTCCATAATATTGTCTTGTGTTTTGTTATATGAGCTCCTCGCTTCTATATGTCGTTAAAATATTTTTGCACATCCAAGGATGAATCAAATTTTCAAAAATAATAGTAGTCCATTCAGTTTTGAGGTACGGTACTGAACTCAATAAAACAAAGTGCGACAAAGACATCTTGTAATTTAGTAGAATTCAGTAGAGAGGTAGGCTTTTTGCTTCTGAGTAGATGTTAAGCCTACTACTCGCTTAAAAGTAGAATATCCAGAAATGTCTTGATGAACTCTTTGAATTATAATATAAGGATCCTGTTATGTTATTTATGACACCAGGTATATCTACTGGCTCTTATTCGCCAAGTTTAAAATTCCTTAATTTTATGTTTATTCTAAGACGTAGTATCACTTTAATGGTTAATGTCAAATTTGAATTTTATGATGGTGAAATGAGGAAAGGCCTGAGTACGGCCAGATTTGTCAGGCAAAATATAAGCTTAACTTACTTGGTTCAAAATGGTATTTATTCCACCTCAAAATGATATAGATTGCTCTTGTTTTTATACGCCAACATGGAAATGTGGACGTATATTGCCGTCGCCCCTGTCCGTCCTATCGTTGGTCCGTCCACATTTGTTGTATGCACGATAGAGACTACAGTTTTTATCTGATCTTGATGAAACTTGGTATGCATGTATATATTGATGAGATCTCGGTCAAGTTCAGAGTTATTGCCCTTGACTTAGTAAACACGTGTTAAATTTGGCTTGTATGCACGATAAAGGCAACAGTTTTTATCTGATCTTTATGAAACTTAGTATGCATGTATATATTGATGAGATCTCAGTCAAATTCGAAATTGATAATAATCGGATGAACTGTTTCAGAGTTATTGCCCTTGATTAAGTAAAAACCCTACAAATTTGTTTTGTAGTCATGATACAGAGTGCAGTTTTTATCTGATCTCGATGAAACTTGGTATGCATGTATATATTGACAAGATCTCAGTCAAGTTGAAATTGCTAACAATTGGGTGAACGGTTTTGGAGTTATTGCCCTTGAATTAATTCAATGCGTCTAATTTGGCTTGTAGGCCTCTTAGAGACTACATTTTTTATACGATCTTGATGAAATTTGTTATGAGATCTCAGTAAAGCTTGAAATTAGTAACAATCAGATGATTGGTTTCACATATTAAACCACTATTATTTCTGACAGCTGGTAGTGGGTGTTTGATACCTTGCCTGGCAAGCTATCTTTGTTTTGGATCTCACCCAAAATATCTTTGACAAAGCCATAGTTTTAAACAGGAAACTTTTGAATATAATAATTATTGTGTCAAGTACTGCTATTGAATGAAAGTGTGTGTTAAAGGTTATAATTTTGTGTGTGTTAAAGGTTATAATTTTGTGTGTGTTAAAGGTTATAATTTTGTGTGTGTTAAAGGTTATAATTTTGTGTGTATTTAATTGTATTATATTTATGTGTATTGGTAACACAGATAGAAATGATTTGAAACATGCCAATTTTCAGTCAGTTGTCTGTAGGATTGTTGTAAACCCCAGAGTAGAGTCCCCACTATGTCTATATCTTCTGGGATCCCGAAACGATCTTAAAAACATAACTACATGGCAATGAAGGAAGACAAAATGGCGGATCCTCAACATTTATTCGTGGTATTTTCAAAATTTATTTCATTGTGTATAGAGCGCATCCCTTCTGTAAGGGGCCCATTTTAGGGTAAAAAACTGCGCATTTTATTTGGAAATATACGGTATATGAAGTTTTACTTCATTCAAACTTGTTCAAAGGGTTAAAGTGAAATGTTCTGTCTATTATAATTCAAAGTAATTGAACAGAAAGGAAATGATAGAAAATAGTTAAGTTTGAACTTTAATCAACTTTACCACACTTCCTTATTCATTTAAAGATGGGTTCCCTTATTTTCATTTATAAAAGAAAATGCTGATACTTATATGAATAGAAAGTAGAGGTGTTCTTATGACTAGAAAAAATACCAGTTTGTCTCACATGTCCATAATTAATTTATAATTAGCTAAATTAGAAGAGAATTACCACCAGAATTCCAATGAGTGACTGATCAAGAAATGTCAAAAAGTCTTTTTTTTTTGTTTATCCAGACTGTACATACATGGACATTTATGATTGGTTAAAACTCTTAATTATATACAATAAGAACATAATGATATGATTAAGAATACATGATAATTCATTAGAAACACCAATTAATCAAATAGTTGGCTTGATTTGATACTAAAAAATACGGAAACCCATCTTTAAGAAAAATTGTTATGTGACTAAAGCCTGTCTCCCAGTGTTCAACACAATATAGGTTTTTTGTTTTTGTTGAATATTAAAGGGATTAATCCTTGTTTCGTGAGTTTACAAATAAGCCATATTACCAATGTCATTGCTTTGCTTTTTTTCAGTGGGCGGACCATCAGTACCATTTAAACCACCAGGAGGTCATAGTAATGGTAAACTAGTTAATGGTACAACAGCAGCTCCGCCGCCACCTCCTCCATCACAATCCAGCAAACCATCAAGACCAGTGTCGAACATCAACAAGAAACGAGAGAACTTTGAAAATGAAAGAAATTTAGAGCATAAGAATTCGACTGTCAGTAGCAATACAGCACAATGGAACAAAGCAAAAGTTCAGCCCCCTCCTCCTCCAAGTAGACCAGCACCCTCACATAGTTCGAGTAGACCCACAAGCATGGTTGGTAGGCCGTTACCGCCAACTCCTCATAATTTAGCTGAAAGTAGTGCACCTCCTGGTCCACCACGAAGTGCACCACCACCACCCCCAAGACAAACACCATCCATACCCCCTGGAAGACCTAGTGCCCCTCCACCCCCCGTTAGAACAACATCTGCTCAAGGAGGAGGAACTGTAGGCAGATCTGGTGGTGTAAGGCCACAACTTGCAAGGCGACAAGACCCTCCCCCACCCCCTCCTCCTCATAGTGGACATTCACATAGTTTTAGTTCTCAACATGCTCCAGTTTTAAACAAACATTCTACCAGTATAACTTCGAATAATTCAAACAGTAAGTACATGACTTTATATTCATAGATAAATATTGTCCAATCAAAATTGGCCCTACTGTATTGGTAGCAAATTTCAGCCAATCAAAACAAATCAATCGTTATTATGCTTTGTTTGCGAACGTAAACAAAACCAAAGCAGCTTGCCATTACATATTTTGATGAATGTGTACGGTACAGAATTGAGTAAGATTTCCGTTAAAGAATAAAAGCCGAGAGAAAATCAAACCTTACTTTGGAATATTAACTTGGAAAGAATGTGTTCTTATCTCTTCAAACCAGCGGCGGCAAAGAAATGTTGTGTTTTGTTTACATGACCTCATTTCTGTTCTACTGATCTGATTGGTCAGATTTAAATGCCACCAATCTCATTTCCACACCCCCAAAGCGAAGTGTAGTGGGCTACGTTTAATACGGGATGATACGACCATGACAAAACGCGTATTCTTGATACAGGGACTTTATACTACTAACATCGTTAACAGATAATTGATCTCCAAAGACTATAAATGTATTTAGTGCATATATATTTTTTTTTTGATCAAATGGGGAAGACACTGAAAAATGTGGGCTAATGAGGATGGGCAACGCCATGCAGGGTGCAATAAGGAAAATTTTCCATGTCAACCCTCTCACCTGCATCACTGACAGGGGGAAACCGGGTTGAAAATTTTGAAGGTATTATTATTTTTTTTTTTACATAACCAAGTCAGTTTTATATTGCATTTATTGTTTTTCTTTTCAGATTTTGATGACAGATTCAAGTTTCATAGTGTCCACGAGTTTCCCCATCCAGAGAGACTGAATATTGGTGTCAAAACCTATCCTAGCCACAGTCCGAGACGTGCTTGTAAGTAGATGCAATGATTTGATACGAAATATGGAAATGTGGACGTATATTGCTGTCACCCCTGTCCGTCGGTCCGTCAAAATTTCTCGTAAACACAATAGAGACTACAGTTTTCAACTGATTTTAATGAAATTTGGTGTGATCATTTATATTGATGAGATCTTGGTCAAGTTCAAACTTGATGATCTTTCCATGAAAGGTTTTTGAGTTATTGCCCTTGACTTAGAAAAAATGCATCAAAATTTGTTCGTGAACGCAATAAAGACTACAGTTTTCAGATGATTTTAATGAAATTTGGTGTGATCATTTATATTGATAATGTGATGTATTTGGGTTATTGATATTGATTTTTAAAAATTTGGTGGAATTTCTCAGCATAAATAACAGGTAGTAAATATATATATCATTGAATTCAAACTAATAGAATTTCTTCAATATGAGAAAATTCATACTTTAGTCACTGAAGACTGTTTTATCATTTCTGACAGCTGCCAGTGGGCGTATGTTACCTTGCCTGGCAAGCAATCTTTACCATTTGCCTGAAACTCCTGGGGGTGCTCAACTATTTATCAGATTCTTTAAACCCTTTCGCGTCGACATCGAAAATTTTCAACAATGGGTTTTGATGTTATATTGCTAAGCGTCGAAAGTTTTCGACTTTTATGTTATATTTACATGTTTGTAGTGTGTGTAGTCATATCTAAGGGAGGTAATGAGATAGGTGTCTCTTTCTTTTGTTTACACGTCTACTTTCCGTTTTGCCGCTACAAATCAGCTGGTTTATTCTGTAAAATCGAAAGATATTAATCTTTGAAGTCAATCGATATTTTTAAGGGTTCAATAGTGAAACGTCAAAGTTAATGAAGTGAAGCGTCAAATTTAGCATAATGATAAGCTGGTGCTTGTGGCAAATTTTCCGACATTTTTTGTACATATTTGTTGTGCGTGTAGTCATATCTAAGGGAGGTAATGAAATAGGTGTTTGTTTACACGTCTGCTTTCCGTTTTGGCACTAAAAAACAGCAGGTTTATTGCTGTTGCTAGCAGTCGTTGAAAAAAACTTGCTTTTAGAGTCTGCCTCTTCAGGAATGACCTGAGCATTAAGGTACAGGTTTGACAGTGAAATTCCTCATTTGAGGCTTTTTTGAAGTAATAGAGTGATTTTTGAACATTTCTAGTACTTCTGACGACTATTTGCAAGTATCCAAGACTTCCTGTTTTTAGAGGAATTCCTCTAATTTTCTGGTATTTTTTTTATTTCAAATAAAACCTTTAAGTTTTAAGAAAGAAAAGACTCCTGTATGGGAAATGACTTCCAAAGCATCTTAAAATGGTGAAATCTCCCTCTATACCTCACATGAGAGTCTGTAAGCCATCTTTACCTTCAGCTGATATTTTTCATTTTTTCTTTTTTTCGTTCCACACTGGGATCCATGTATTTACATATATTTGAGACCAAAATCAACCCCCCAAAATGCCAAACCTGTCTCTTTTGGTTTATTTAAATATGTTTTTGTTAATTTTTCAGCCACACAACAGAGACGAGCACCACCCCCACCCCCACCACCTCGATAGCAACTGACTGGTAATAGTGGATAATGATGTATTAGTATCACACCTCTACACAATAACACGAAATCTGTGTAGACTGGTCGTTTTAATCTCAATACAAACCATTGAGTTTTATTACTTATAATTCCATGATCTGCTCAATACATGTCACATGGAAATGGATTCATTGTTACGATACCATGAAGATATTGTGGGTGACCGCTTGAAACCTCGTATACGCCATATTTGGTCATTTTGACTTTTTGGTACCGTTTGAAAGCTTGTAAAAGCGTGGATCTTGTGATCAAAACCTCGTATTCTTAGCTTGATTGTAAATAACTCAAAAAGCACTAATTAAATAACACGTATATAAACAGTCAGATTTAAAACCTTGTAAAATATATTATTATACGAGGTTCAATGTTTCTTTTTCTGCGGATGAAAATGAAAAACCTTGTATACTGTATTATTATACGAGTTTTTGGTTCAATAGGCCGGAGAACTCAAATTGTTATACAAGGTTTATATTTTCAAAGAATGAAAACCACGTATAGCGGTAAAAAAAATAATAAAAAAGATTTTAACAAAATACGCGTACAAATAGTTTTTTGCGTTTTTCTCGAAAAGTTATTCTGCGTCATATATCGTTATACGAGGTTTCAAGCGGTCACCCACGATATTTTGACAAATGGAAAAGATTGTTTCAAAAAGATACCAATGAATATCTTCAAAATTGTCAAAATATCGAATTAAATTCCACGTATTTTGTCCAATGCTATCTGCAGCTAAGGAGCATGTAATAAGCAGGCCATGGAATTTTGATGATGCGAAAGTCACAGATGAATATATTTTAAAATGAAACCTGTATATTGGTGATTTGATTAATGTATATATCCTACAATTGCCTTGAATAAAATGGGAATACTACTATTTGGTTATAATTCAGATGTAGATATTTCTTCTCATGTCTTTTCTGTGTTATAATCCACTTGCCATCTATGATCTGACAAATACTTATGCAACATGTGTTCTAGGTCACTAAAATATTCAACCAATCAATTGCTTAGTTCAATTCAAGCTTGTGAGGAATTCAGGGATATCTGTTATTTTACAATGACCTGTATCCTCTGTCAATGGTTTTGATTGGTTAGCATAAATTGAGAATTGATCATGATTTAATGAAGAATTTGATCAGATCATAGATGATGAGTGGAGTAACCCGCAGAAGAAATATGAAACAAAACATCTTGTTTTGCAAAAAAGGAACAGTTTGATAAGAATAAGACTTTTGTGTTCCTGTGAGACAAATATTTTTTTCATTATCATTTGAAATTCTTTTTTTCGTATTTATTCAAATATAATCCAAACTTTGGTTGTATATCTTTAAAGATGGGTTACCTTATTTTTTAGTGTCAAATTAAGCAAACTATTTGATTAATTGGTGTTTCTAATGAATTATCATGTATTCTTAATCATATCATTATTTTCTTATTGCATATAATTAAAGTTTTAACCAATCATAAATGTTCATGTTTGTACAGTCTGGATAAACAAAAAAAGACTTTTTGACCTTTTTTGATCGGTCACTCATTGGCTTTTTGCTGGTAATTCTCTTCTAATTTAGCTAATTATGAATTGATTATGGACATGTGAGACAAACCGGTATTTTTCCAAGTCATTAAAACACCTCTACTTTCTATTCATATAAGTATTAGCATTTTGATTTTCATTAATGAAAATGAGGGAACCCATCTTTAAATAGTTGTTGAAAGGGAAAACCAATTTATATAGCATTTTTTCTGTTCTATAATAGTACTCAGAATCTATTTGCAGTCATTTAGCCCATGCACGACGTTGGAGCGAGAGTACAAATATAATTTTTTGATTTATTCATTGTTGGAGAAGGAGAAATCATTTTTTGCATATCTGGTGTGAAATATAATGATAGACTATCATGATTGTTAAAGAATTTGATTTATTGGGCACGTGTATCAAGGGTTTCATCAGAATTCGATAAAGGAAGCCCCTTAAAGACATATAGTTGTCTAAATAATTTTATTTACTGACTGATAGAGCTCAATTTCCACTATCCTTAACACTTTTCAGATTAGATTCTGAGTTCAGGTTCCCCTACAATTCGTCAAAATGTATATTAGACATTAAGACTAATTCTTACACCATATCATTAATGTATGCATGGAATTATTGACATTCAAAGATACTATGGTATTCTTTTGTTAAAATTGTAGGGGAACCTGAAGTCAGATTTTAATTCTTAAAAAATGATACAGATAGCAGAAATTGGTCTGATTTACAAATCAAAGCAAATATTTAGACGACTGCATCTCTTTAAATTATCACCATGTTAAAATGTAGATCTTGTATATATAACTTGATTGGTACTAAATGATTTATCAAATGTGTATAATATACAAAAATGTATTTATCTATAATATAAAACTGTTAATTACCAGATGCAATTCTTGTATTTTTGTATATAGATAATTGTATAAAATTCTACAGAAGATATTCAAATTTATATATTTAACTAATATATATATTATGCAACATATTGCACCTATCTTTTATAACTGTGCATTCCTTTAGGCTGTATTTTTTAATTCCTCTGATTCTTTCTATTATTTATTCTCTTTCCTTAAAGGAAAATTGCCCCTAAAATTTTCTTTTTTTATACGCCCACATGAAATGGGGGGCGTATATTGCTGTCACCCATGTCCTTCAGTCGGTTGGTCCACAATTACTCATAAACATTCTACAAGACACAATTCTTGACGGATTTTGACAAAACTTGGTATGAGTGTTCTTAACCACCCAAGGATGAACCCTATTGAAAATCAGAAGAATCGAAAAAATATTTAGTATAAGTTATTGCCCTTGTTCTTGAAAACGTGTTCAATTTTTAGCCCGTTTTCAAGAACAAGGGCAATAACTCATACTCAGTATTATTCAGTATCGCCCTAAAGAGTTCAAAAGAAGTGTATAACTGAAGGTTGAATATTTCATACTGGTGATTGTTACTGTACTGCTAAATATTTTTATTCAAAATCAAAGCTGCCAGTAGGCGTATATTACCTTGCCTGGCAAGCTATGTTCTTTCTTGACGGTTAACTGTAGAACTGAAATGAAATTTGATTTTGGAAAAGAAAGGGTCTGCATTCTGAATTCTTCCAAATGGACACATTTTTTACCTAAGAGCTTTACCCCTGTTAGTGCATCTGCACAGTGTCAAGCTATTACGAAGGCAGTTTGAAGGCTCTTGTGCTGCAGGGGTGAACATATTCAAGATCTTCGGACAGTTGAAAATCCAAGTAGACTACTGTCATGGCATCATCAAACTTCATTCACCCTATCAAATGCAGACAATATCCCTTAAATATTTCTTGATTTTTTTTTATTCCATACAGAGATATTTTACTCTTCAATATAGCTGAAAGAAAGATCATGAAATATATAAATTGATTTTGTCCACTGTTTATATCAAAACATGGTTTTATGTTATATCGTGGGTGACCGCTTGAAACCTCGTATACGCCATATTTGGTCATTTTGACTTTTTGGTACCGTTCGAAAGCTTGTTAAAGCGCGGATCTTGTGATCAAAACCTCGTATTCTTAGCTTGATTGTAAATAACTCAAAAAGCAATAATTAAATAACACGTATATAAACAGTCAGATTTAAAACCTCGTAAAATATATTATTATTTTAGGTTCTATGTTCCTTTTCTGCTGATGAAAATGAAAAACCTTATATACTGTATTATTATACGAGTTTTTGGTTCAATAGGCGGGAGATCTTAAATTGTTATATGAGGTTTATATTTTCAAAGAATGAAAACCACGTATAGCGGTAAAAAAAATATTTTAACGAAAAAGGCATACAAATGTTTTTTGCGTTTTTCTCGAAGAGTGATTCCGCGTCATATATCGTTATATGAGGTTTCAATTGGTCACCCACAAAATGGTTATTTAACGTAGATATCTTTGAAACTTTGTTTTTTCCTGAACGAAAATCATTGCCGTTACAAATTCCTTAATGTGCAAATTTTCAAATTTCAAATCAGATCAAATATGAATAAGATTATAGGTAACATAGTATTCTGATAAAAGCAAGGGATTAATTCATCAAAAAATTTGCCTATGAAGCTGATAATGCATATATTTAATCCATTGTATCCCTTTAATAAATTAAAAAGCAATTTTAGCATCAACCAGCCTTTTGACTATGCTTCTATACTGAATTTACAAATTGCATAATCAAAGATGGGTTGCCTTATTTTTTAGTGTCAAATTAAGTAAACTATTTGATTAATTGGTGTTTCTAATGAGTTATCATGTATCCTTATGTTTTATATTGCATGTCATTAAGAGTTTTAGCCAATCATAAATGTCCATGTATATACAGTCTGGATAAACAGAGAAACAAAAAAAGACTTTTTGACCTTTCTTGATCAGTCACTCATTGGATTTCTGCTGGTAATTCTCTTCTAGTTTAGCTAATAATGAATTAGTTATGGACATGTGAGACAAACTGGTATTTTTCCAAGTCATTAGAACACCTCTACTTTCTATTCATATAAGTATTAGCATTTTCATTTTCATAAATGAAAATAAGGGAACCCATCTTTAGGTAATATTATGTAAATTTCCATGTAATATGTAACTCCAGATGCTGTCTTTTTACATAAAAACTTATGAATCGCCATTAACTTGATCTTTTCTGTTCACTATTATTTTGTGCTTGAGTTGCTATTGTTAAACAAGAGCCTAGCAAATAGATTTGTGCATATCTGGATTCAAAACATGAACACGAGGAGCAATTTATTGTATTTTTAGGTAGTTAAAGGAATTGTAAAGAGGTTTTATGAATTTGTTATGTGTATCGTGCACAATTTGCACCATTCCAATTTTCAATCAGTCGGCTGTGGTTCCTGGAATTCCACTGAAGCTAATTGTTTGACAACCTCACAAATTGCAAAGGGCCTTGTGTTTTAAAGCATACTTTATTATTTTTAGTGGAATTACAGGAATCACAAACGTCTGAAAATTGGAAAGGTGCAAATTGATAATATCAGTTTAACAAATTCAGAAAATCTCTTTATAATCCCTTTAAGGTAGTATTGATCATAAACAGTCTACTTTACTTTAAGGTAGTACAAGAAGTAATGAGTATATCGTGGGTGACCGCTTGAAACCTCGTATATGCCATATTTGGTCATTTCGACTTTTTGGTACCGTTCGAAAGCTCGTAAAAGCGCAAATCTTTTGATCAAAACCTTGTATTCTTAGCTTGATTGTAAATAACTCAAAGAGCGGTCACCCACGATACAACACTGATTTGTATTTTTTTATCAATATTAATTTTACCTCAAAACAAGATTGGCTCGGTTTGAATTTCCTCTGGATGTACTCAAATATATTTGTCTGACTGCAATTCTGTATATTTTAATTTTAAGGTGTCACAAGGGAATATTTATTGTTGGGGCTTTTTTTTTTTACAATCAAATATAGCCATTTTGTTTCTTCTAAACCTATTTTATCTTCTTGAACAAGAATGTCTGTGATCTGGCCAAAATGATCAGAAACCTGAGTTTTGCGTAGAAGTGACTGCTAGACCAATGAATTTTAAATTTAATTTTGTTATCCAATCAGATTACCATATTTCTTAAAATCTAGATTTTATTTTTGTCAAGTTTTGGAGAATAAACAATGTTTTTTGAGAAACTGAACCAAGCTGGTGTATTTATTGCTTGTGTTTATGACTAAAATCATCGGTGGATGTGCACAATTTTTATACACCCACACATAAGATGGGCGTATATTGTAATCACCCTGTCGGTCCATCCGTTCACATTTGGTTCGTGCTCACTCTACAAGCTACAATTCTTTACAGATTCTTTTGATTTTTATTTTGTGTGTCAATGTCATTATGAAGATGATCCCTATTGATTTTCGTGATGATCGGATAATTTTTCACCGAAATATTGTGTCTGACTTGACGTTTCACTCTATTAGCTATATTTAAAAACTTGGTGGTATTTCTCAGCATAAATAACTGGTAGTAAATATATATATCATTGAATTCAAACTATTAAAATTTCTTTGACATGAGACAAATCATACTTTAGTCACTATAGACTGTTTTATCATTTCTTGACAGCTGCCAGTGGGCGTATGTTACCTTGCCTGGCAAGCTATTTTCTTTTTTTTAATTTCAATTGTTAATTAAATTGGAGATGAAAGAGAATATGTAACTATTGTATATTTTTATGCTTTTGCCACAGAATTTGTGAAATACACTGATATAAATATGTCACGAGAATGGCCTCATTCTTACACGTCCTGTCCAATTAAATCCTTGGCCAATCAAAATTATGATAGAAGAAACATTGGATTATATATTTTCTGTCTGAAAAGGTTCATTAAGTGAAATTTGTGCAATAAACTATTTCTTGTCTAAACTATGTAGATTCAGCTAATTTTACCACATAAATATCAGTGGCATATATACACACAGTCACAATTGCTATGCACATTCTCAGACATAAACAAGACCAGTCTATTTTCTTTTTAAGGTAGAATGAAAAGTTATTGAAATTGTATACATAACTACTGAAACTACCTTTAAATAAAGTGGACTCCTCATGTTTACCTTTTGTATTCAGATGTGCATAGATATCTTTTTTTCCCCCATAGAATTGCATATTTGAAAAATTGTTAGGCATGTATTCTGAGACATACTTTCAGAATTTCTTTTGCTGTTCTCATGGAGAGATATATTAATAAAAAAAAAATATGAAAATGATGTACTAGTATTTTGTTGTTTTATTCCCAGGTTTTAGGTTTGTAACTCTGCAACTGAGTTGGCCACCTTTTCTAAAACATAACTGAGTTTGCCACATTGTCTCAAACACTCAATGTAATTCTGTAACAGAGTTTGCCACCTTTTCTAAAACATAACTGAGTTTGCCACATCCTCTCAAACACTCAAGGTAGCTCTGTAACCGAGTTTGCCACCTTTTCTAAAAATAACTGAGTTTGACACCTTTTCTAAAACATAACTGAGTTTGCCACATTCTCTCAAACACCCAAGGTAGCTCTGTAACAGAGTTTGCCACATTCTCTCACTCAATGTATCTCTGTAACTGAGTTTGCACCTTTTCTAAAACACTCTATGTAGCTCTGTAACAGAGTTTGTTACCTTTTCTAAAACATAACTGAGTTTGCCACATTCTCTCAAACACCCAAGGTGGCTCTGTAACAGAGTTTGCCAAATTCTCTCAAACACTCAATGTAGCTCTGTAACAGAGTTTGCCACCTTTTCTAAAATACTCAGTGTAGCTCTGTAAGACTGTAACAGAGTTTGCCACTGTTTCTAAAATATGACTGAGTTTGACACCTTTTCTAAAACATAACTGAGTTTGCCACATTCTCTCAAACACCCAAGGTAGCTCTGTAACCGAGTTTGCCACATTCTCTCAAACACTCAATGTAGCTCTGTAACCAAGTTTCAACTTTTCTCACCATTCAGCTTGTTTAATTGGACCAAGAAAAATAACCATTTTTCAAAAGGTAAAAATTTATTAGTAATAAGAATAACTCTACAAAAACATGGAATGCTTGCAAACATTAAACATTTATAAAAAACAAATTATAAAAAATATTTCCCAAGAAACTTATCAATAATCCACATGCAGGAGTACTTGGAATGTTGATTTTGGTACGAGTAATAAAACAAAGTTTTTGCAGTTTGTACCTACTGATCTGCTAAATTGAGGAGAATATCCTGTGTACATTTTAATGAGCAATTTTAAGTGAGAATGTATAAATGAAATGTTCAGATTTGATTTAACGGTCATCATTAAAGATGGGTTCCCTCATTTTTATTCATGAAAATGAAAATGCTAATTCTTACATGAATAGAAAGTAGTGGTGTTCTAATATCTTGGAAAAATACCAGTTTGTCTCACATGTCCATAATTAATTCATAATTAGCTAAATTAGAAGAGAATTACCAGCAGAATTTCAATGAGTGACCGATCAAAAAAGGTCAAAAAGTCTTTTTTTTGTTTATCCAGACTGTACATACATGGACATTTATGATTGGTTAAAACTTAAATTATATGCAATAAGAACATAATGATATGATTAAGAATACATGATAATTCATTAGAAACACCAATTAATCAAATAGTTTACTTAATTTGACACCAAAAAATAAGGAAACCCATCTTTAAGATGTGCACATTCTAAACAAATCATAATGTATATATATATATACAGTAATTGTCTACTAATTTCAACAAATTTTAATATGCCAGTGCACATAAACACAAGATGTATAATATACCAGTAAGATTTTTCATGGAAATATAACAAATTGACACTTAAGTCCCCCAAATACACAGAAAACCACTTGAAATCTGTTTTAAACATAACATGGTCCCTAGAGTGGTTATTGTATAGGTGAATACTTCTTAGCAGCATTAAAGATATTTCTATGCATTGGCCATTTCTCACCACACTGTTGTCCAACATAGTCATCAACGTTTAAACTATACGTCATTATACCACCATACTTATTCTCTAATATCCATTTAACCTACAATATATTATATATTATTAAATTATATATCATTATACCACCATACTTATTCTCTAATATCCATTTAACCTACAATATATTATATATTATTAAACTATATATCATTATACCACTATACTTATTCTCTAATATCCATTTAACCTACAATATATTATATATTATTAAACTATATATCATTATACCACCATACTTATTCTCTAATATCCATTTAACTTAAAATATATCATAAATTTTTAAGGGATATAGTCTTATAACTATTTGTTTCATTAAGTGACAGAACTCAAATTTAGCTATCCACATGACTTTTCAGAATTAAAATTTGACCTTCCATTCAGATACAATTAAATAAACACTGTCTTGAAAGTATCATCTAGCATCATCTACTCCAATTCAATGCAGTCTAAACCAAGTCTAAACTTGTTCTGGGTGTATTTTGTGATGCCCTGGACTCACTTTCGCTATTGGTGACAATTAATAGAAGTACTTAAAGAGTCAAAAAGAGCTAAAATACCTTCATATAAACACTTTGTTTATTTTCATAAGATATCCATGTAGTACCAGAGTAGGCGTAGGGTACAGCACAATCCTTATCCCATACTTGTTTAAATGATGTATCGTTCAATAATTTACATATCTGAAATGATTTGATTGAAGTTCTACATATTACTTCTCTATTGCTGATTAGGTTCATAATGATGGATGAAGTCATGCAGTGGTGCAATCAGCTATATAAGCTTGCTCTTTTTTCCCATTCCAAGGGCACAGGATCTTTCATGTGCATAGACTGTCCCATCTGAATGACTAGACATCTTTCCTATGCCAGCTTCTACAACCTGCTTCACTGACAGGTGGAACTGTGTTCACAAATCTTTTGTGCAATGAAATGGAGTATTATCTGAGATGTCTGCCTTCAGTATAATACTATTCAAGGGTGCAGATCACGGGGGGGACAGGGAGACACGTCCCGACCGTCAGAAAACCTGGGGGGAAGTGATATCCTGTGTCCCCCCCACAAATGGTCAAGCTTGGTTGAGTAGAGTGTCTGTATTGGACGTAAAATAGGCACAATTTGGAATCCAAGAACATCAAAGTGCCGAAATTTTGCACCTATAGTGCACTATTCAAACAATTTATGGTCGAGTGACAGCTGGAAGACCATTCGTTCGTTTTGGGACCCATCTACACTCACAGAAGCTTCATTACGAAGGGGCACAAGTAGCGAATTTTATCGCTCGCATATTCGCATGAATGACTGGAAAATTCAGTAACATGTAAGAAAGAGCCTTTCTTTCTATAATATTTCTGAGAGCTATAAAGATACGGTGTCACCACCTCAACTGAAACATTCTCATGCTGCTATACTCTGCAATCGAATTCGCACCTTCGGTCCCACCCCCTTTTGAATAAATCCTGCGTACGTCACTGCGTACCCCGCATTGAAAAAGTTATCTGCGCCTTTGATACTATTCTAGAGAGAGTCGACAATTGATAGAAACAGATGCCTGTGATTCGAAGCCCCAATCAAGTGCCGAAAGGAGGAAGTAAAACTCCATATCATTTTAAAGCCAAGGAAAATAATAACTAACCAAAGCTCTGCTAATTTCATCCCCCAATGTTGTATTGTATCCAGTAGCTAAACTGTAAAGACCATGTGATTTTTCTGAGAGTAGATGAAATGTATGAGCGTATGTTGGTATTCCAACTCTTATCTGACTCTTCTTCATTCCATGTTCCACCCATAATTCACTACCAGCTACCTATACACATAACAAAACTACTGTCTTAAAATTATTGATATATAAATTGAAATATCAACTGAGTCTTTGATTGATTTTGGGTTAGATTAGTAGTTTTTCTTAGAAAGAATACCAAATTACCCAATTAGTTTTTCTTAGAAAGAATACCCAATTACCCAATTAGTTTTTCTTAGAAAGAATACCCAATTACCCAATTAGTTTTTCTTACAAAGAATACCCAATTACCCAATTAGTTTTTCTTACAAAGAATACCCAATTACCCAATTAGTTTTTCTTAGAAAGAATACCAAATTACCCAATTAGTTTTTCTTAGAAAGAATACCCAATTACCCAATTAGTTTTTCTTAGAAAGAATACCCAATTACCCAATTAGTTTTTCTTAGAAAGAATACCCAATTACCCAATTAGTTTTTCTTAGAAAGAATACCCAATTACCCAATTAGTTTTTCTTAGAAAGAATACCCAATTACCCAATTAGTTTTTCTTAGAAAGAATACCAAATTACCCAATTAGTTTTTCTTAGAAAGAATACCCAATTACCCAATTAGTTTTTCTTAGAATACCTAATTACCCAATTAGTTTTTCTTAGAAAGAATACCCAATTACCCAATTAGTTTTTCTTAGAAAGAATACCAAATTACCCAATTAGTTTTTCTTAGAAAGAATACCAAATTACCCAATTAGTTTTTCTTAGAAAGAATACCCAATTACCCATTTAGTTTTCCTTAGAAAAAATACCCAATTAGTTTTTCTTAGAGAGAATACCCAATTCGTTTTTCTTAGAGAGAATACTCAATTACCCAATAAGTAATTGAACTTTGACCTGTATTTTGACCTTAATAGAAACTAGATGAAGTCAATATTTACCATATTATAATAATAGAAGATAGTTTTATCTAATAAACTTTGGCCAGAATACATTGGACTGTTATGTCCAGTAAATGGCGTTGTTTTACCAAATCCATGAATATCATAGGTCATTAGATTGATAAAATCAACATATCTGGAATATAGAAAATAATATAAGTCTTGATGGACTTTTTAAAGGGATACTACGTCTTAGAATAAACATAAAATTTTAAACTTGACCAATAAGAGCCAGTAGATATACCTGGTGTCATAAATAACATAACAGGATCCTTATATAATCCGATAAATCCAAATAACTTAGTAATTATCAACAAATATGCAATTAACTATTGAAAAACACTTAATATTATGATTAAGCGTTTTTCAATAATTACTTAGTTTTATGATTTTTCCAATTTTCCAGATTTTACAGGGATTCTGTTGTAACTTTATGACACCAGGTAAGTTCACTGATGAATATATACTCATATTGACCATTCTTGAGAATTAAATTTTATGTTCCTTCTAAGACGTAGTATCACTTTAAATGATTCAGCTTTCAATAAATACCGATAGTCATGCCATATTTTGCTTTTGTCTTGGTGAAAATTTTCAAAAACTAGTGTCTGAATTGGAGCAACTTCCATAAAATGTGATCTTTTGTGTCTGACCCTTAACCTGCTGAAATAGAGGATAGCAAGTATGAAACTATTTAGGGCACCCTAAAGCTAAGATTCCATATACGCGTCATGCGGACATAAATGGCCCTTGCGGATCCGTCATGCGTCAAATATGATTCCATATGTGCGTTAAATGTATGTGTTATCTTTCTTTTGACGCACAGACTTCCAGACAGATGGATGCTTTGGTGCTTTCATAAAAAAGACAGGGAATCCCCACAAAATACGTCACATTTGGGAGATCTCTGCGCGGAAAGGCGTTCGAATGCGTCAAAAATCGCTACACCCGGCGATATTTTTAGTGACGCATGACGGAGACCATTTGACGGATACCGCTTCCGCATATATGGAATCATACCCTCTTAAACCAACCATTTCGATGACACATGACGCGTATATGGAATCTTAGCTTAAGTCTCCTGTGGTGATGAAGTGAAATATACTTACTTAGACATCTCTGGTATTTCATAACAACCCAGAATCAAAGGAATAGTTGATGCTACTGCAGTAGTTAACAGATATTTGGGTAGAACTCTCTTCTCTGTATAGTTATCAAATGTTTCCCTTAAGGCCTGAATAAAAAAATATGTTCAGCATTCAGGAGCGAATTATCATCGCCTAGAATTTCCTAGAATTTAATATATTTTCTATTGTGTTTTAATCCAATTACACTATTAAAGATGGGTTTCCTTATTTTTTTAGTGTCAAATTAAGTAAACTATTTGATTAATTGGTATTTCTAATGAATTATAATGTATTCTTAATCATATCATTATGTTCTTATTGCATATAATTAAGAGTTTTAACCAATCATAAATGTCCATGTATTTACAGTCTGGATAAACAAAAAAAGACTTTTTGACCTTTCTTGATCGGTCACTCATTGGAATTCTGCTGGCAATTCTCTTCTAATTTAGCTAATTATGAATTAATTATGGACATGTGAGACAAACTGGTATTTTTCCAAGCCATAAGAACACCTCTACTTTCTATTCATAAAAGTATTAGCATTTTCATTTTCATAAATGAAAATAAGGGAACCCATCTTTAAAAGGGGAGTGTAGGCTTTCATGACTATAAAATTCCTCTCTCCTTATTTCTTAAATTGTTAAATAACTACCAGCTTGAATATGACTATGATAAATATATAATCTAAAATATGTAATTAACACACACTACCACTTTAACATGTCTAGAAAAAAAAACTTTTCCTTTAATTTGAAAGGTCAAATTTCAAAAAGGTCAAAATTTAATTTTCAAAATTATTGATCATTACCTGTAATGTCAAAGTAAAATTATGTTTTTGCTCCGGTTTTGACCGAAATCTTCCCCAAGCAGGAAATTCCCAATCAAGGTCAAGGCCATCAAAACCATAATCCACAAGATAAGGTATCACACTCTCAGCAAACCTATAAAGAGAAAGATTACAAATAATCAGCAGGGGCATTCACTTTATTATATCAAGAGCTGTAACCTAACTTACTTAAAGATGGGTTCCCTTATTTTCATTTATGAAAATTTATGAAAATGAAAATGCTAATAATTATATGAATAGAAAGTAGAGGTGTTCCAATGATTTGGAAAAATACCAGTTTGTCTCACATGTCCGTAATTAATTCATAATTAGCTAAATTAGAAGAGAATTACAAGCAAAATTCCAATGAGTGACCGATCAAGAAAGGTTAAAAAGTCTTTTTTTTGTTTATCCAGACTGTACATACATGGACATTTACGATTGGTTAAAACTTAAATTATATGCAATAAGAACATAATGATATGATAAAGAATACATGATAATTCATTAGAAACACCAATTAATCAAATAGTTTGCTTAATTTGACACTAAAAAACAAGGAAACCCATCTTTAAACATGAAATGACATAAAACGACTAGAAATCGAGCAGAAAAATGACTTCAAACTTTTTTGCAATTAATTTTAAGTAAGGTAATTAGACCAAACAAGTCATTTCCTGGTCGGTTCATATTTTAGTAAGTGCCAGCTTTGCTGTAACTCCATAAAAGTGCTCAGATTCGAACACATCAAACATCAAGACGATATAATATGGCTACAAATGGTTTACGATAAAAATCAATTTCTGCGAAAAAAAATCGACAAAAACTGTAGCCTCTATCAGGTTTTAAGGCCAATTGTGAACATACTGACTGAGGGACGGACAAATGAAATGAAATGAATGGAGTTTTACGTCCTACTTTTCTGCACCATGTGGGCTAATGAAGACGGGCAACGCCATGCAGGGTGCGATGAGGGAAATTTTGCTAGGACAGCAGCATTAGCCTGCTCTTTTTCGATTTCCAACTGTAGAGGGATCTTTGATGTGCACAGCCTGTAGCAAACAGGGCCTTGGTTTATTGTTCCATCCGAACGACCAGACGCTTTTACCATGTCAGTCCCTCGTACCTGCATCACTGACAGGGGGAAACTGGGTTGAAAAATCCAAAGGTATTATCTCGACCTATGTCGGGATTGAACCCTGGACCCTCAGGTTAGCGAGCAAGATTCTAACTCACTGAGCCACCGTGGCTCCTAAGGGACGGACAGGGGCGACAGCTATATACAATGTGGCCTAATAAAAAAATCGTGGGTGACCGCTTGAAACCTCGTACATGCCATATTTGGTCATTTGACTTTTTGTACCGTTCGAAAGCTCGTAAAAGCACGGATCTTGTGATCAAAACCTCGTATTCTTAGCTTGATTATAAATAACTCAAAAAGCACTAATTAAATAACACGTATATAAACAGTCAGATTTAAAACCTCGTAAAATATATTATTATACGAGGTTCAATGTTCCTTTTTCTGCAGATGAAAACGAAAAACCTTATATACTGTATTATTATACAATATTTTGGTTCAATAGGCCGGAGATTTCAAATTGTTATACAAGGTTTATATTTTCAAAGAATGAAAACCACGTATAGCGGTAAAAAATATGAGGTCAAATAGTTTTTTGCGTTTTTCTTGAAAAGTAATTTCGCGTCATATATCGTTATACGAGGTTTCAAGTGGTCACCCACGATATATAAATTCCTACCTTTTCCTATTGGCTGGACTCTGAAGGACTACATCAAATGGTCCAGAGCTGCTCAACAACACTTTTATCAGTGGTTGTTTTATCTTTATGTCTTGAACACGTTTATAATAATATTCGACATCCGAGGGTGTACTCGGAACTAATGAGTTATTACTATTGATACTCGAACCTAGGAATATGATGTGTGTACAGTACTCTAAGTTTAAAGCAGGGGGTAACTTTTCTGTGTAAGTATCACCCAGAGATAAATAGCACACAATATTGTTAGTAGTACCGTTCTTGTTCATTATACTGTTAACTTCACCTGCAATACAATTTTTATACCATGGTCAGAAAGCGAAACGTAGAAAATTGCATTTTTGATGAAAAAATCAGTTTTTTCTTAACTTTTTATGTGTATCAGGGACACTGATAGCATCCATTTGCACTGATTATCAGGCATCTGTGGATCATGCAATTCCACTAAAACTAAGCATTCTATGACCTCACTAGCGCAAAGGAGGCTTCTTGGGTACCACGTAAGTAAGGTTGAGCTTTAAAGATGGGTTCCCTTTTTTTTATTTATGAAAATGAAAATGCTAATACTTATATGAATAGAAAGTAGAGGTGTTCCAATGACTTGAAAAAATACCAGCTTGTCTCACATGTCCATAATTAATTCATAATTAGCTTAATTAGAAGAGAATTACCAGCAGAATTCCAATGAGTGACCGATCAAGAAAAGTCAAAAAGTCTTTTTGTTTATCCAGACTGTTCATACATGGACATTTATGATTGGTAAAAACTCTTAATCATATGCAATAAGAACATAATGATATGATTAAGAATACATGATAATTCATTAGAAACACCAATTAATCAAATAGTCTGCTTAATTTGACATTTAAACATAAGGTAACCCATCTTTAAGGTTGAGAACAGAAGTTTTAGTTTATTTACTTAAAAACATTGTACACTCTGAACTGCGAGTAATATAACTTAAAGCATAATATCTACTGTTACTTACTGTTTGTTGTTTGGAAGATTAAGAAACAAAGGAAGAAAAACATCAAATTAAAAAGATCTGAATCAGCCATTCTGTACAATTTTTGTTCTGAAAAAGACAGAAGTTATACTTCAAAATAGTGGTGTCTTTCTTACTGATCCCGTCTTCATTAGCCCACATGGTGCAGAAAAGTAGGACGTAAAACTCTATTTATTTTCTTACTGACATGAATTTGTGATCAAGGGGAGTTAATTCTGATTTGTTTGTGGTCTGTATCTTAGACTGTGTCAGACTTAGAAACTGAACAAAAATTGAGGATTCACGATTTTGAATGGAATATAACTGAATAAAATACCTGTCACAATTGACCAATTCGGTGTCTACTTGAACACAAATTACTGCTTGTAGCCTACACTTTCAGTCCTAAGCGGTTCACCGTTATTCATAGTCATGTGACAACAACAACAATATATCTTAGACTTCTACATCCAGTACTAGTGATTCTCTTTGTAGGCTTCTACATCCAGACCAGAAAGAATTTTGAACAGAATGGAAATGCCCTCAATGCAAATCCTGCCGCCACTTTTGCACATTGGACTGGTTACGGGCTATTCTGATTGGACTCGTTTAAAGTTGAAATTTATTTTTTTCCTCTAATTCTCAGTCCTTCCTCGACTCGATAGCAATCAATCAAGGTTAATCTTTCTTTTCCGACAGATGTATATAATTATTACGCTCTAGTCACCGAAGACTACAAAACACAGTTAATTTCTTTTTTTTTACATGCTTAATCAGAGTTATTTACCTTTAACTAATATTTAATTTAATAATGGTCGACATCTGCCTGTAGTATTAGCCACAGTGGCGCTTAGTTGTAAAGATAATTCAAAAAAAATATGTCTTGTGTTTCTTGAGTGGTTCTATTTTGCATTAAACAAGAACTAGTACATTTTTGTCTTTGACACTTAATTCCCTAGAAGTTGTGTACTTTTTAGTCCCAGATGAAAATAAACAAGAACTAGTACATTGTTGTCTTTGACACTTAATTCCCTAGAAGTTGTGTACTTTTTAGTCTCAGATGAAAATAAACAAGGACTAGGACATTGTTGTCTTTGACACTTAATTCCCTAAAAGTTGTGTACTTTTTAGTCTCAGATGAAAATAAACAAGAACTATTACATTGTTGTCTTTGACACTTAATTCCCTAGAAGTTGTGTACTTTTTAGTCCCAGATGAAAATAAACAAGGACTAGTACATTGTTGTCTTTGACACTTAATTCCCTAGAAGTTGTGTACTTTTTAGTCCCAGATGAAAATAAACAAGAACTAGTACATTGTTGTCTTTGACACTTAATTCCCTAAAGGTTGTGTACTCTTTAGTCCCAGATGAAAATAAACAAGAACTAGTACATTGTTGTCTTTGACACTTAATTCCCTAGAAGTTGTGTACTTTTTAGTCCCAGATGAAAATAAACAAGAACTAGTACATTGTTGTCTTTGACACTTAATTCCCTAAAAGTTGTGTATTCTTTAGTCTTAGATGAAAATAAACAAGGACTAGGACATTGTTGTCTTTGACACTTAATTCCCTAGAAGTTGTGTACTCTTTAGTCTTAGATGAAAATAAACAAGGACTATGACATTGTTATCTTTGACACTTAATTCCCTAGAAATTGTGTACTCTTTAGTCTCAGATGAAAATAAACAAGAACTAGGACATTGTTATCTTTGACACTTAATTCTCAAGAAGTTGTGTACTCTTTAGTCTCAGATGAAAATAAACAAGAACTAGTACATTGTTGTCTTTGACACTCAATTCCCTAAAAGTTGTGTACTCTTAGGCTTAGATGAAAATAAACAAGGACTAGGACATTGTTATCTTTGACACTTAATTCCCTAGAAGTTGTGTACTCTTTTGTCTCTGATGAAAATAAACAAGAACTAGTACATTGTTGTCTTTGACACTTCATTCCCTAGAAGTTGTATTCTCTTTAGTCTTAGTTGAAAATAAACAAGAACTAGTACATTGTTATCTTTGACACTTAATTCCCTAGAAGTTGTGTACTCTAGTCTCAGATGAAAATAAACAAGGACTAGGACATTGTTATCTTTGACACTTAATTCCCTAGAAGTTGTGTACTCTAGTCTCAGATGAAAATAAACAAGAACTAGTACATTGTTGTCTTTGACACTTAATTCCCTAGAAGTTGTGTACTCTTTAGTCTCAGATGAAAATAAACAAGAACTAGAACATTGTTGTCTTTGACACTTAATTCCCTAGAAGTTGTGTATTCTTTAGTCTCAGATGAAAATAAACAAGAACTAGAACATTGTTGTCTTTGACACTTAATTCCCTAGAAGTTGTGTACTCTTTAGTCTCTGATGAAAAAAAACAAGAACTAGTACATTGTTGTCTTTGACACTTAATGCCCCAGAAGTTGTTATCTTTTTAGTTTCAGATGAAAATAAACAAGAACTAGGACATTGTTGTCTTTGACACTTAATGCCCCAGAAGTTGTTATCTCTTTAGTCTCAGATGAAAATAAACAAGAACTAGGACATTGTTGTTTTTGACACTTAATTCTCTAGAAGTTGTGTACTCTTTAGTCTCAGATGAAAATAAACAAGAACTAGTACATTGTTGTCTTTGACACTTTATTCCCTAGAAGTTGTGTACTCTGTAGTCTCAGATGAAAATAAACAAGAACTAGCACATTGTTGTCTTTGACACTTAATTCCCCAGAAGTTGTTATCTCTTTCGTCTCAGATGAAAATAAACAAGAACTAGGACATTGTTGTTTTTGACACTTAATTCTCTAGAAGTTGTGTACTCTTTAGTCTCAGATGAAAATAAACAAGAACTAGTACATTGTTGTCTTTGACACTTAATTCCCTAGAAGTTGTGTACTTTTTAGTCTCAGATGAAAATAAACAAGAACTAGTACATTGTTGTCTTTGACACTTAATTCCCTAGAAGTTGTGTATTCTTTAGTCTCAGATGAAAATAAACAAGAACTAGGACATTGTTGTCTTTGACACTTAATGCCCCAGAAGTTGTGTACTCTTTAGTCTCAGATGAAAATAAACAAGAACTAGGACATTGTTGTCTTTGACACTTAATGCCCCAGAAGTTGTGTACTCTTTAGTCTCAGATGAAAATAAACAAGAACTAGGACATTGTTGTCTTTGACACTTAATTCCCTAGAAGTTGTGTACTTTTAAGTCTCAGATGAAAAATTGATTGCACGGGTTCTGAACCAAATATTCCCCCAACTATCCTTATGAAATTTTATTGAATTGAAAAAATATCATAAGTGTATACTTGTGATACAGAAGCTTTTAATGAATTAACAATTTGAAATGGAATTCTGTTTATTGATATTACATGTAGTTACAGTCGGCATTTTTGGTGGTTGATTATGGTCTTGAATATAATGTAGCTAGCTTTCAGAATAACTGCACAAAAGGGCACAATAACCTTTCAAATATACCTCAAACTAGTAATTTTACTTTCTATTTCTATCTATGTCAAGAAAAGACGAGTCGTCATTTGTGCGGATAATTCTGGACACACTTAGACTTGAAGGCTCAAATTTCAACAGTGAGATGTGAACACTATTACTGATTAGTTTAGCTAAAAAAGAACAAATCCGCGTTTGTGAGACAAAATTTACGATTAGTCAAGCGGATGGCGATCGTGCCACTGTTACTAAAGGCGCCCACACATGGAGAGAAAATGGCGCAGCGCCAAATACGCTCGACTAGTAGCGCTTCGGGTGCGGATAATTTTTAGTGTGCATTTGGCCACTCGTGGCCGTGTGGAAAATATCTATCGTGTTTGATATTTTTGACCACTCGTGGCCGATGGCACACCGTGTGTGAGTAACCGTGCGCGACTTTCTCAGACTACGAACACAACGCGCATGCGTTATTGGTACTCAAAGATGGCGGCGCCCAGTGAAGTAGTGACAAAAGCAATCCTTGAGGATAAATTTGTTGAATTATGGCAAGATTACCACTGCCTTTATAATATCCGATCGCCTGAATTCAAAAACAAGGACACGCGTGACTATCACTGTAGTAGTCCGCCATTTTGATTGATCATCAGGCTGACGTCAGATATAGTTGAGCTTCGTGTACTTGGAGAAGTGTGGTGGGAAAGTAGCGTGCGCCATTGGTGCCCCATATTCTCTTCGTGTGCGAGAGCCTTTATGTCGGAATAAGTATTAACAAAAGATGCTTGTTTTCTTTTTCATCAGCATGGAAGGTGACCACACTGTTCAATTGTTGTTGCATTCTTTAGCTTTGATTCTCAATTGATGGATGCTGGATGCCTTGAGATCCGAGATGGAAGATTTTGGAAAGTTGGTGGTCTGTAGAATACCAGCACCCGGTCGGAGTGATGGTGATGATGATGATGAATGATGGGTTATATCCGAAGGTTGAAGACACGATTCTTGAAACTGGAAAACACTACAGGCCTCTGTGTTTCTCTCTAAAAACATATACAAAAGAGACGAAGTTTAGTCGGGGAAATTGTTATTGCGTCCTTATCACACTTTCCAAATCCCCCCCCCCCTCCCCAATTAAAAAGAAAGTTACATTTAGCATTTTTTTCCAGCGCTTAGCTGCGACTACATGCTTTGCAAAACGGAAGAAAGCCTCGAACTAGGGACTTACCTGTGTCGTGGCGGTCAGTCGGGGATAGTTTCTGGGTGAAAAGAGAGCTAGCTGTAGTAAACTGTGGTTGCCAGTCTAGTGGGATATTACCGTACCAATACGACATGTTGGATCCCGGAAGTGGCGTATAGCTAGCCACCTGAGCAGGCGGAATCAAGGGAGATAATGGTCGACATCTTCCTACAGCGTTATTCGGTGGCAGATCTGCAATCAAATAAAAGTTTTACTCTTAATCTAGTCTCTAATAGAGCCAACATCCGGCATAACAATAATAAAGCGGCATTTATCTATCCTTGTCTAATATCGATTTACAAATTTACCATGAACGATCTGTGGCACACGTAACGCCAGTTTCTGGTCCATCTGGATGAACAAGTGTTTGTCCACGTCAGCACCACTGGACTGCTTCACAAAGAGATGTCGGGAACTATTTGTCCTTCCAAAGGGCCAATTGCTTCACAAGGGGATGTCGGGAACTATATGTCCTTCCAAAGGGCCAATTACTCCACAAAGGGATGTCGGGAACTATTTGTCCTTCCAAAGGGCCAATTGCTTCACAAAGGGATGTCGGGAACTATATGTCCTTCCAAAGGACCAATTGCTTCACAAAGGGATGTCTGGAACCATTTGTCCTTCCAAAGGACCAATTGCTTGTCCATGTCAGCCATAAATCCCCCACCCCATTTGAACTGCTTCACAAAACGATACCAGTAAGCATTATACAAAACTTACTTTGACAACCAACAGGTTCTTTCAAATCAGTTTTTTGCTGTTTTCTCCATTTGGCACGTCGATTCTGAAACCAGACCTAGAAAATACAATTGAGAGATCTTCCTGCCTAACGGAATGGGATAAGAAAATGCAGGAAAAGATTGAATACCCGTGCCTTAGATCGACATATCTGAGCTTTATTTCGACATAATGACTACCAGCTTCTGGAATGTCGACATACTGAACACTAGCTTCTGGAATGTCGACATACTGAACACTCGCTTCTGGAATGTCGACATACTGAACACTAGCTTCTGCAAGGTCGACATACTGAACACTAGCTTCTGGAAGATCGACGTACTGAACACTAGCTTCTGGAAGGTCGACAGACCTGAACACTAACTTCTGGAAGGTCGACAGACCTGAACACAAGCTTCTGGAAGGTCGACATACTAAACACTAGCTTCTGGAAGATCGACATACTGAACACTAGCTTCTGGAAGGTCGACAGACCTGAACATTAACTTCTGGAAGATCGACAGACCTGAACACTAGCTTCTGGAAGGTCGACAGACCTGAACACTAACTTCTGGAAGGTCGACAGACCTGAACACAAGCTTCTGGAAGGTCGACATACTGAACACTAGCTTCTGGAAGATCGACATACCTGAACTCTTGCCTCTGTCAAGTCCAATTTCAAAGCTAGTTCCTCGCGATAGAAAACATCTGGGTAATGTGTAGATTGAAATGAGTTCTCCAATTCACCAAGTTGTAAACTCGTAAACGTTGTTCTGTATCTTCTCTGTTTTCTTCGCGCACTGGCTCCTTTAATTAAATAACGGTAAATACAACGTGATAAATATGATATTATGATGTGATATGATTGGATTAGATTTGTCAAACTTACATACAAACATATCATGTATTGTCCATTACTGCTAAACGATCACGCTGTGGCCCAATTAGATGTCTGGGTCCCTAGACTTAAATGGGTTTGAGGGCCATTTCCGGAAATGATTAATAATTTACATGTGCGACCTCGCGTGACCTCCACATTAGTTTGTTTTGATAAACATGGGTTTTCTCTTCAATATCAGCTAGTAGAATGAATCCAGTAGTTTCAAGCAAGGTAAAATGTATTAATGTATACTTTGACAAATACAAAATGGCGGATTTCAGTTATTACCAAACGTCACAATTTTTTATCGGCCGAATTTCCTTATAATCCACAGCTGTAATCGGAATTCCAAGTGTCGTCTGCTAGAATGTAGTCCAGCGAATGAAGTCACGTGAAAAATTCTATGGAACACAAAGTGGGCCATATTCTTATGTTGTTTCAGTGACTTTTAGCAATAAATCACTCTACGTATCTTATTTTGTCAGAAACTATTTTTTTTTAAATCATGGTTCTTTGAAGGAATTGTCACTAGTTATAATGAATTGATATTAAAGATAAATACTAAGAGAAGTTAATTATACCACCCGGTATCCATACAACGTGTTTTTCTCGACTTATTTATAGATCAAACATTGTACACGAAAATAGGAGACGCATTTTGCCGCCGTTGTCGAGTTGGTTACTTATGAAATATGGGTCAAAGTGAGGCATACATAAAGAAAATCGAAACTAACCCAATTTTAATTATTTTATAGAATATCTGAGGAAACATCTAAGACATAAACGATGACGAAATTCGGTCTTGAATCCTTATATCCACGAAAATAGGTTACACCACTGTATATATTGCCGGCTACTTGTTTGATTGTTTTCTTTGGTATATTTTTAGTATTTTATATTTTTTCCTTGACTTGGTTCAACCAGTATCTATGGTAGTTGAGCCACTGTGATTATGTAATTTGTGTTTGTCAACTCGGCATCCTTTCAGAGAGTCTACATATTGTAATATTGGTCAAGGTTTCAATTAAATAATCATAATCAAAACAGCAAGAAGAAAAGAAATCATAAAAATGAAATTGCTGTTGGAAGGAAACCAGACGGGGGAAAGTGAAACCACAATAATTTTCGACAAGTATCATTTCATGTTTCCATTAACTTCAGAAAGAGTTTCTAGCTTTTTGAATTAACTATAAACAGAGCCCCGTGCGCTTCAGGCTGTGAAAGTTGAAGATCCCTCACAGATGGAAATCAACCGAGGCCCCGTGTGCTACAGGCTGTGTACGGTAAACATCCCTCGACAGTTGGAAATCGAAAAAGAGCAGGCTAATGCCGCTGTCCTGACAAAAAATGTCCCTCATTGTACCCTGCATGGCGTTGCCCGTCTTCATTAGCAAACATGGTGTAGAAAAGTAGGACGTAAAACTCCATTCATTTCATTTCATTTACAGATGGAAATCGAAAAAGAGTAGGCTAAGGCCTTGTCCTAAATGTACTAAAAATATTCGTCGTTGCATACTTAAGGGTCTTGATTGGCGCAATCAGGTGCAAGATGCAGGACGTAAATTTCCAATTCGTTTCGTTTCCCGGCAAAAAATTCAGGTATCATATGCTACAGCAAAGGTGTAACGAGTCTCCATACATTGACCTTTGATTAACCAATATTCTCTTCATCGACATCTCGGGCAATTAGATTTATCGAAACTAAATATTGTGAAACTTTTTAATTCGTCATTAGTCGGAAGGGCATGGTTGTCCTAGTATTTGTTTCACCAACCGATCAAGCCAAATTTCAGCCAGCTGTGTAGTCGTGTAAATATTTGCTCTATGTCTGATAGGGCTCAATTTAAGCTATCGTATAGTTGTCTAAATATTTGCTCTATATCTGATAGAGATCAATTTAAGCTATCTGTATAGTCGTCTAAATATTTGCTCTATGTCTGATAGAGATCAATTTAAGCTATCGTATAGTTGTCTAAATATTTGCTCTATATCCGATAGAGATCAATTTAAGCTATCGTATAGTTGTCTAAATATTTGCTCTATATCTGATAGACCTCAATTTAAGCTATCGTATAGTTGTCTAAATATTTGCTCTATATCTGATAGAGCTGAATTCTAGCTATCTATGTAGTTGTCTGAATATTTACTTGACCAGCTGATAAAGCTCAATTTAAGATATCTGTATAGTTGTCTAAATATTTGCTCTATATATGATGGACCTCAATTTCAGCTATCTGTATAGTTGTCTAAATATTTACTTGACCAGCTGATCAAGCTCAATTTCAGCTATCTGTATAGTTGTCTAAATATTTACTTGACCAGCTGATAAAGCTGAATTCTATCTATGTATATAGTTGTCTTAATATTTAATATTACAAGTTGATAGCAAATGGTATGCTTTCACAAGAACGAAAGCACACTGCTTTTATCAAATAAGGAGACGAGTGTCTTAATTTGAGAACGCAATAAATATTTCCACGACTGTACACACGAATAACTCTTACCTTTAAAGCTATTGGACGACTGAAAGTCAGATGATTTAACCTCAGTATGCGATGGGGGTGTCGAGTGCGGTGGTGCTTTACCGCCCAATATGCCATGAACACTGTACTGTAATCCAGCACTGGACACTGTATTCCTTATAAACACCTCACTTGGGTCAGTTAAAGCCGAATAAAAGCTGTCTTTAAGTCCAGGTGGAATGTCAGGTCCGCTTCTGCTACAGTAAACCGATTCCATCGTCCAAGATTCCAGTTTTATATATAGGCTACTGCTCTAATCAGATCACCTTAATGTAATTTGTCAAATTTCTTCCACAATTCTTCTCGTCCATTCTTTTAATATTAACAAATAAGGCAGTTCTAAGTTTTCCCGCCATAATTGACGCAGAAGTAACCAATGACAAGGGAAAGATTTTAATTTGAATGTTAGAAGGTTTCTGTAATTTTCTCTGAAGCAATTTTCTAATTTCAACAACCACCTTCATAAGGCTTCTTAATTCATTTTCTTCTGTTCTTCACAGAGACTCAGTTTGTATGGTTCTGATTGAAAAGGAGTTTTACGTCCTACTTTTCTGCACCTGTTTTGGGTAATAAATTTTGTCAGGACAGTGGCATTATCTTACTCGTTTAAGGATCCATAACACGGGTTCTCAGTGCATTTATCACATCCCATCGACGAGGCGCTTTTTCCATGTTTTCAAAACCTTTTTTACTTTTCTATGCGAATCCAAACTCCGTCCACACCCTGAGGTTAATATATCGCCGTGTCAAGGACCGGAAGACCATTACACCATTAGAGATTATGACGGGTTACTTTGTGTCGGTGTCAACCTTATTTACATTAATTTTAACACACGTACTGTAATCTTTATCTAGAGTTTAGAGGGTCATTAGAGCGCATGACATCACTTGGAGACTTCAATTGTTTTGTGGTTTAACTTCAGCTCGAATAGTGTGTGGTTCGTTATTGAAGCTCCATCATCATTCTGATCTGTGGTTCGTTTTAATTCGAGGATCGTTTTAATGCACTCGTTTAAATTCGTTATTCGTAATAGTACTGTATCTAGTCAATCTAGTTCGTTATAATACTGTATCTAGTCAATCTAGTTCGTTATAATACTGTATCTAGTCAATCTAGTTCGTTATAATACTGTATCTAGTCAATCTAGTTTGTAATAGTACTGTATCTAGTCAATCTAGTTCGTAATAATGCTCGGTTCGTTACAATTCGCAGTAAGCTGGAGTGCGTATGGTTTGTGATTTAAATTACTTTGTGTCCAGTTATATTTTGAGAAAAGGAAAGGTTTGATACGATACTATTGTATGTGCTATGTTGGTGGTTAGTGGGTCATAGTGCGCTATAGTTCGTAGTTCGAAGTTCGCCAAACAACCAAGGGTATCGTCTGAATTATCTTGTTCCCTTAGTTGTATTGGGGAAATTAACTGTGTTCTGACGCCGGTTCTATGTACACTTTGGCAATCAGCCATAGCACCTGATAAATAGATCAGAACTCAGGACCGTATATCGCAGATTGCTATACAACTGATACAATCTAAATCCTTTGTTTACAATCATGTCGAAAACTGCAGGAATCGAAACGGAGATACAGGTTAGTTTTCATAGCTTTACATTTTAAATCGTCGGTCAGATAGTGTGCTCACAGTTCGATATGCGTTCGGTAAAACATGAAACTTTTCTGCCGTCTATTAGGACGTTAAGTGCCGTAGGATCGAATCCTCCTCAAGGCATGACAATTCTAATGCCACGGTAAGTGCTTCTGAGAGGTCCTGTGTCGGTTTTTACCCTCCATTGTATTCTAATTTTTCTGAAAAATAATACAAAACTACAGGATCTATTTCATTTTCTCTAATCATCACTACATGAGTTCACGTGGAGGTTAAAAATAGCAATAATTGCCAAAACTGTGTTATATATATTTTTCTGTTTACTGACCCAATTTTGAATTTAATATCTGTGAGATTAACATTATTATTACTGTTTACTAGCTATGCCACGAGATCTAAAGCCTATGCTTCACCAAATGTATTTATAGATAGGCCTAATGACCAAGACACGTTTTTGCAGTTCTTCTTTTCCCATTCTGAAGATTAATGACCCCTACCGATAGAAGGGAGAATTTGAAACAGGGTTCAATTTAAACGCTATCGCATAGCAACTGCAAGTCAAAATAGTCCCGTTAGCGATTCAATATTTCTTACGAGTATCTAAAATTAAAATTTATCATATTGTTATTTACATAGTTCGGAACATTTTGAATTGTTATCGAAATTTTTAGATTTAAATAGTAACAGTTTATACACGTTTTTACGGAAGCGTATTAGGGCCATTCATTTTTTTTTTAATTTTCAAGTTAGTATGTTGAACTTTCAAGTTTGTAACTTGAATTTTCAAGTTAATATCTTGAATTTTCAAGTTAGCATCTTGAATTTTCAAGTTAGCATCTTGAATTTTCAAGCTAGTGTTTTGAATTTTCAAGCTAGTGTGTTGAATTTTCAAGCCAATATGTTGAATTTTCAAGTTATTATGTTGAATTTTCAACTTAGTATGTTGAATTTTCAAGATAATAAATTGAAAATTCAAGATACTAACTTGAAAATTCAAGATACTAACACATACTAACTTGAAAATTCAAGTTACTAACTTGAAAATTCAACATTTTAACTTGAAAATTCAACATACTAAATTCAACATACTAAATTCAACATACTAAATCCAACATACTAGGTTGAAAATTCAAAACACTAACTTGAATATTCAAAACACTAACTTGAAAATTCAAGATACTAACTTGAAAATTCAAGATACTAATACATACTAACTTGAAAATTCCCCCCCCCCACCCCCCCCAAAAAAAAAAAATGAATGGCCCTAATACGCTTCCGTATGTTTTACATCAAGGGAGAGAATCCATTGCCATTTTATTTGACCACTGAGTTTAATTATGAAATTTTATTAAATCAAATTTGAATCGTTAGCGTTACACAGTGTAGTAAATCGGTCAGTAAAATGCTAGTTTGAAATCAATAATAAGTCTTCGGAGTACTGTAATTCGAAGCATTGCACGGAGGTACAATGCGTACCTTTCAAAATAAGAGAATACCCATTGGCCCTTCACCATTTAATACCCCGTCTTGGTACTACATCTCCCTACTAACCCACCCAAATTTCCCCTCGTTCTTCTTAAGAACTGTACCTTCCCCCAATTACCATCTCTCATCTCTCCCTAAATCTCTTTACTCTATTGTTTTATGTTTCTTCACCTATTCAGTTCCTATCCTTTCTTATCTCTATTATCCAGGTTGAAGAGCTTCAAATAGAAGAAAATGGCGAAAATAAGAAGTTAATTTATTCAGTTAAAGAAAGTCCACCTTTGATTATAACATTGATTCTCGGAGTTCAGGTTTGTTATATTACATTAGGTATTATTATCATGAAAATATGACTAAAGAAAAATAACTTGAAAAATCCTAGCGTTGGAGAGGGTCGCCTTTAGACCCTAACTGAAGTGGCAAAATTGAAAATAAGATCTAATAATAAAAAGTGGACCGATAGGTTGGTGTTAGATGGTTTTATTAAGCTAAGATTCCATATACGCGTCATGCGTCATCCGTCATGCGTTAAAAATCTAAATAGTTGGTTTAAGAGGGTATGATTCCATATATGCGGAAGCGGTATCCGTCAAATGGTCTCCGTCATGCATCAAAAGACGTATTTTGTGGGGATTTCCTGTCTTTTTTATGCACCAAAGCATCCATCTGTCTAGAAATCCGTGCGTCAAAAGAAAGATAACGTATACGTTTAACGCACATATGGAATCATATTCGACGCATGACGGATTCGCAAGGGCCATTTATGTCTGCATGACGCATCCGCATGACGCGTATATGGAATCTTAGCTTAAACCAAAGGATCTAATTAAACTGAGATTAATTACCAAAATTAGTGTGATCTAACGAGTTTTCTGTCGCAGTCTCATACTAATTTATAAGTAATCCAAGCATGTCAAGTTGGAGCCATTTCTTGATTTTTCAGGCGTTTATGACGTGTTTAGGAGCGACAATTGGCTATCCGTTTATAATATCCACCGCCCTGTGTTTAACGAACGATAGTCTGGGAATGGCTCAGATCCTTGGAACCAATTTCTTTGTTTCCGGTTTCTCTACAATTCTACAAACCACTTTTGGAATCAGGTACAAACCAATTGGAGAATATATTTGTATTTTGTTCTTGCTCATTTGTGTATTAGAAATTGTGTACTTTTGTAATTGTTTACTAACAGTTGTGTACTTTTGTAATTGTTTACTAACAGTTGTGTACTTTTGTAATTGTTTACTAACAGTTGTGTACTTTTGTAATTGTTTACTAACAGTTGTGTACTTTTGTAATTGTTTACTAACAGTTGTGTACTTTTGTTCATCTGTAAACTTGAACTTGTGTGAACTTGAACTTGTGTGAACTTGAACTTGTGTATTTGTAATTTTGTACATTCTGGATTTATCCTTTTTTAATGTCATTCCAATGGTATATAACTTATATATTTGTATTTGTTTTACTCTAATTTGTACTTGTGTTTTTTGTGTTATTCTAAGTGATTATAGTCGTGTGCTTTATTTAATTGGATATTCTGAACTTATGAACTGGTATATTTGTATATAGTCCAAATTGAGTATATGAACTATTGTGTATTTGTATTTTTGTAATTGTACTTTTGTCATTGTTTTTGTTATTTGTATGATTCGAAATTTCTAAGAAATCTTGTATTTAAGGCTACCAATTCTACAGAGTTCAAGTTTTGCCTTCATCGTGCCAACCATAGCCATGTTTTCTGTTGAAAAATATTCCTGCATTTATACTGAAGCAATGGGTAAGATGTGTTTAGTAACGTCTATCAATGTGTGATTAAGAAGTTAATGGTTTGGAGGGGGGGGGGGGGGGGGGCAGCAAAAATAATACTACATGTATTAGTTTTGAACGTACTGAGCGACAATCATTACGATGACTGATAAGGAAATAGGTTCAGTATATATCAAATGAATTATTTTAGCATTATCAGTCAGATTAAGATGATAAATTTACATCAAACGAAAGAATGTTACTTTTTTAAAGCGGATATTTTAACTCACCAGGACACCAGCGACCAGAAGGGAGATTTTATCGTTTTGTTATCATGCTATAACTATTAAAGATGGGTTCCCTTATTTTTATTTATGAAAATGAAAATGCTTATACTTATATGAATAGAAAGTAGAGGTGTTGTAATGACTTGGAAAAATACCATAATTAACTCATAATTAGCTAAATTAGAAGAGAATTACCAACAGAATTCGGATGAGTGACCGTTCAAGAAAGGTCAAAAAGTCTTTTTTGTTTATCCAGACTGTACAAACGTGAACATTTATGATTGGTTAAAACTTATATTGTATGCAATAAGAACGATAATGATATGATTAAGAATACATGAGAATTCATTAGAAACACCAATTAATCAAATAGTTTGCTTAATTTGACACTAAAAAACAAGGAAATCCATCTTTAAGCCATTTAATTTCGTTATAAAACAACTTCAAATGTTTGTCAAGTTCAAGTTCATTCTTGAAGGTCATCAATCGGCATTTTTGAGTGGTTCAATTGGGCCTAAAATAATATAAATAGACTTCAGGAATACTAGAATAGTACAAAAATCTCAAACTGGAAAAATTCACTTTTTAGTTCTATCGTCACTGGTTTCTCCCTGTTAAATATATTGCACGTCGTGTGGACAAAGTCTGGAGTAGGAATGTCGTGCTCCAACTCTATATTTTCACTATTTTTGCAGTGAACCAGACTGTGATATCACAATATGGCGGAGACCATCATCGATCCTTATGGACGTCAAGAATTAGAGAGGTAATGTTGTTTCTCAAAACGTCGTGGACGTTAATCCTAGCTCTTCATTATTGATTTTTTGTGAAACGGCGGCCGGTTTATTACCATTTATTAATTTTATGCTCTCTGTTAGCGGATCAGATTTGAATTTTATATCCCGCGTTTTTTTGGCGCATTCGTGGTGCACTACACGACGTTACCTATCTTCGTCATATGCAGATAATAAATATAAGTCAATTTGATGTTGAAACAAGCCGAAACTTATATGAATCTGTGCTCGTTTTCAGATTAATGGTTGTCTTATGGTAGCTTCTCTACTGCAGATTACAATCGGGTTCAGCGGTATTTTAGGTTTCATGTTGAGGTTTATAGGACCTCTCACAATCGCACCGACCATTTCTCTACTATCCTTATCGTTATTTGATGCTGTTTATATCAAAAGTCAAGGACAATGGTGGATAGCCGTCATGTAAGTCCTTTTTCTATCCAACAAATATTGTTTGCGGCTTGAAATTGAGACTTAGAAATTTGCAGTAATAACTATGAACTGGATTTATAATTAGATTTTTAGGCAGTTTATTATTAAATATACAGATTTACAATTGGATATGACATAGATTAACAATAAATATAACGTACATTTGCAATCAAATATTTCATTGACTTACAATCAAATGTTACACTGATTTACAATAATCATATGTAACATTGATTCATACTAAACTGTTACTTTGATTTACAATCAAAAAGCTATATCGACTTGCAATCAAACGTTACATTGATTTACAATCAAACGTTACATTAATTTACAATCAAATGTGACATCGACTTGCTATCAAATGTTATATTAATTTACAATCAAATGTTACACCGACTTGCTATCAAATGTTACATTGATTTATAATCAAATGATACATTGATTTATAATCAAATGATACATTGATATATAATCAAATGGTACATTGATATATAATCAAATGATACATTGATTTATAATCAAATGATACATTGATATATAATCAAATGGTACATTGATGTATAATCAAATGATTCATTGATTTATAATCAAATGATACATTGACTTATAATCAAATGTTACATTGATTTATAATCAAATTTTGTGAAAAATTACAATATACAAAACACATGTCTTAGATTTACAATAAATTTTACATAGTTCAGCATCAGATAGTTTATGATCTTGTTTTCAGGACAATGGTGCTAATCATCATTTTTTCACAATATTTGAAATTCATCAACATACCATGTTTCACCTATACACAAGCTGGTGGATGGAAGAAAATTCTGCTCCCAATTTTTAACCTTTTTCCAGTGAGTAACGGATCATTTCCACTTCTATGTTTTAAATGATTTCAGATTCAAGGTTATAAGTATATTATGTAATTGTGATTGGTCAGTCTCTAAAACTTAGTTTTCTTAAAGATGGGTTTCCTTATTTTTTAGTGTCAAATGAAGCAAACTATGTGATTAAGTGGTGTTTCTAATGAATTATCATGTAGTCTTAATCATATCATTATGTTCTTATTGCATTTAATTAAGAGTTTTAACCAATCATAAATGCCCATGTATGTACATTCTGGATAAACAAAACGCCTTTTTTACATTTCTTGATCGGTCACTCATTGGAATTCTGCTGGTAATTCTCTTCTAATTTAGCTAATTATGAATTAATTATGGACATGTGAGACAAACTGGTATTTTTCCAAGTCATTAGAACACCTCTACTTTCTATTCATATAAGTATTAGCATTTTGATTTTCATAAATGAAAATAAGGGAACCCATCTTTAACCAATAAGATTAATTTTTATATCACCTTCAGTTATGGCTCGTTTTCGATGGTCATTATTAGATATATAGTTTAAATAAATCTAATTGGTTGAGATTTAAATTGTGAACCAATCAAAATTAATGATAAGTATACAAGCCTATTCCTTTTCCTTGTAGATTCTTTTGGCCTTAATCATCGCCTGGTTGATTTGCTTAATACTGACGATTTCGGGTGTTTTTTCGGCCGATCCCAAGGGTTGGGGTTATTCGGCTAGAACAGACATCAAACTTGATGTTATTGAGAAAGCTGACTGGTTTCGAATCCCGTACCCAGGTAAGGTAACTTTTGTCATAGGCATGCCCATGGGGGGGGGGCTGGAGCTGTGTCTGACGCTAGCGAGAAAGAATATCTAGAGAAACACTGGTATTTTTGGTTTAAAATGAGAAATATAGTAACATAGCAAATATTTTGGAATTTGGATTCGTCAACTAAAGCTTGGCGCTGGAGTTTGGCTGTAGCTTGACGTTTGTTGTGACGTCATTTACGTGATAATTTCAGTTCTTATATTAAATATTTAAACAGGACAATGGGGAAGCCCTATATTAACTCTACCAGGAGTTTTAGCATTGATGGCCGGTGTTTTTGTTTCCATGATTGAATCTATAGGAGATTACTACGCATGCGCTAGATTATGTGACGCTCCTCCACCACCAAATTTTGCTGTAAATCGAGGTAAGTTTTATTCCTTAATTTCTTCAAACGGTTAAAATATTTTTTGTCGGTTATCGAGACTACTTTGCTATCTGTGATACCAAAATCACACTGGACAGTGTGCCAGTGTGACCGATCACAGAAAATCGATTATTTTTTTATCAGTAATAGTGTTCATAGCTCACCATCGAAATTTGAGCCTTCAAATCCACCCACGTTTAAAGGTTAAAAAGACGACTCGCCATTTTAAGATACTCTGTGATATTTAGAAAAGACATGTATAGAAATAGGGAGTATTTTTAAGGGAATTGTGATATTTTGGTACATTCTTAGTACTTTTGAGACTATTTACATATATATTAAAGACCAAAATTAACCCCCGAAAATGACGAACCTGTCCCTATAAGAGCAGTACATAAACTGATATTATTTTTGACCAATCGATAGAACATTCGCTGTAGTGTTTTCCTTGTGGGTTAAACCTATTTCACTACTAGAATATTTGAAAATGAAAAAATGAAATGAATGGAGTTTTACGTCCTACTTTTCTGCACCTTGTGGGCTAGTGAAGACAGACAACGCCATGCAGGGTGCCATGAGAGAAATTTGCCAGGACAGCGGCATTAGCCTGCTCTTTTTCGACTTCCAACGTGCACAGCCTGTAGCACACGGGGCCTCGGTTTATTTTCCCATCCGAACGACTAGACGCTTTTTCCATGTCAGCCTCTCTTACCTGCATCACTACTAGATTATTTGAAAGAAAGAATAGAAACAACTATATTTTACAAGGATAACAACTTAGGTTCACAGTTAAGGATTATTTCTACCAGCTGGTCCTTGGCCAAACCGCTTGGTATTCATCGACATTTCCTGGATTATCCGTACCCATTTAGATCTTAGTCGACTGGAATTATGAGTGAACATGATTTATTCAAGGTCATCGGATTTTCACATCCCGATCGAGATTGAAAACAGCACACAGAAGCTATGTGTTCGATGTGCTATTGAACAATGGGACAAAATCCTTCACGAAATAACGTTCAGCTTCATTTTGGTATCTGTTTTCTATTTTAGGAATTGGTTTGGAAGGCATCTGCTGCCTCTTAGCTGGAGCGTTTGGCAATACAGGAGGTGTGACGTCATATTGTGAAAATATCGGGGCTATTGGCATCACGAAGGTTCGAATTTTTTTCTAGCATTTCTGGTGAGATCCATTTTAGTCATCCGTATCACTAATTATGAGCGAGATTCCGACCTCTGATTAGAAGTGACTCCATGGAGATATAAATGTTTTCCCAAAATGATGTAGCAGCCGAAAGATCCTTTGTGGTATCTGCAAGACTGATTGTAAGTCTTTCTATAAAGGATAAAGCCCAGGGCTTACAAGATCCTTGTTAACCTAAGTTGTCGTTTTTTTCGATCTGGTATGTTGGTGTTTCAGGTGGCGAGTAGACTTGTGATACAGATGGCTGGTGTGATTTTGGTCATCCTTGGGTGCTTCACTAAGTTCAGTGCTGTTCTGGTCACGTTACCAGATCCAGTAGTTGGTGGTTTATTCCTAGTAATGTTTGGTAGGTGATGGCTTATATCCACCTTGCCGAGGTTTCATTAACGGAAAAATAAACTTAACCGATAGTCAGTCTTAGACATCAGATCGGATATTAATCTGAGACGCCGTGCGCCACAGAATTTGCACGTAAAGATTCATCCGTGCTAGTATCACATTTTGAAATCAACAAATAGTGACGGCGCCAGGCTCTTTGGACTGGGAATTTTAGGTTGTAACATTGCAATGTTACGAAAGCACAGGCACAGGCATGTAGGCGTAACCTCTAGTGATAAAGCAATGTTTGAAGTTGGTTTAAAAATGATATAGAATATTTGAAATGCAAATCCATTATCTTCCGAATCTGAAATGTATAAGAAGAATACTGGTTCCAACAGGAACATTAATAACCATGAAAATCATAATAAACATTTTCACTGGTGAAACTGAGGAATTTTCCTACGTTAAAGATGGGTTCCCTTATTTTCATTTTTGAAAATGAAAATGCTAATACTTATATGAATAGAAAGTAGAGGTGTTTTAATGACTTGAAAAAATACCAGTTTGTCTCACATGTCCATAATTAATTTATAATTAGCTAAATTAGAATGGAATTACCAGCAGAATTGCAATGAGTGGCCGATCAAGAAAGGTCAAAAAGTCTTTTTTTGTTTATCCAGACTGTACATACATGGACATTTATGATTGGTTAAAACTCTTAAATATATGCAATAAGAACATAATGATATGATTAAGAATACATGATAATTCATTAGAAACACCAATGAATCAAATAATTTGCTTAATTTGACACTAAAAAATAAGGAAACCCGTAAATGAAATGCGTATTAAAGGGGTTACAGATAGGGGCAAACCGACTTAATACAACTGACCGGATTTAAATTCAAAATGCAGAAGTGGAGGATCTGACGGAGTTGACTTTCCAAAAAGAGCATTGATTTAGTGCATTCTATTACATTTTTGGGCAAACTCGTGAATAAAATAAATATAATGTTTAGAAATTTCTAAGAAATGAAGTGGAGGTACAAACTACATTTCTGGCGGTGCAAATTCCCCCAAGTACCCCGAGAAGGGGGTAGCCTTGGCTGATGCCTCGCAGTAAACCAAATCTAATATTGTGAATAAACGGGTAACAACGAAGAGTTCAACACTACATCGATGAATTATATTTTTTTAGGAATGATTGCTGCAGTAGGTGTGTCCAATCTGCAATTTATAGATCTCAACTCGTCCCGGAATCTGGTGGTGTTTGGTGTGGCACTATTCTGTGGATTGTGTATTCCTAAATGGTTGAGTTTACCAGAAAATAAAGGAGTCATAAAAACAGGTTCGTTTGACACGTGTCCCCTTTCTCATGTCTTTGTATTGTAGAATATTCTCGTTGTGGACTTCCCCTTCCTGTTCATTGAGTTCCCATAGCGAAAATATAATTCTTCTACAGACGAATATTATCTGATGTGCCCATCTGATGGGTGATAAGGCGACATGTGTTCGAATCCTATTCAAGTTATGTATTGTGTTTACAGGTAGTGACAATGTGAACCAAATCATCACCGTTTTACTATCAACAAATATGTTTTTAGCTGGTTTGATAGCCTGTATCTTAGATAATACAATACCAGGTAGGTCTAGCTCACAGAAACACTGGTTGGAGAAGAGGAACTGTAATTTCTAAGATAATTCCATGCCAGCTATGTAGATCGGAAATGCATTAATCGGGGATGGTAGTTTTATTTCATATTATACAAGACGGAACTTTTCATGAAATTCAGACTATGGAATTCACGTCAGTATTCATTAATGTCTTGGTAGTCGAGGCAAGTTCTAGAAAGGTCAAAACTGAAGTAAGCTTAATTCCGGATTCAATCATGCATGCAACTCAGAGCTAGACGTTGTTTCGAAAACTTTTTAGAAAGTTTTACCGAATATTTATCCTCTGAATGACGACTTTAAAGGGATACTACGTCTTAGAATAAACATAAAATTTAAAATTTTTTAAATAAGGGCATATTTTCATCAGTAGATATACCTGGTGTCATAAATAACATAACAGAATCCTTATATAATCCGATAAATCCAAAAAACTGAGTAAAAATGCAATTAACTATTGAAAAACGCTTAATATTATGATGAAGCGTTTTTCAATACTTACTTATTTTTATGAATTTTCAAATTTTCTAGATTTTACAGGGATTCTGTTGTAACTTTATGACACCAGGTAAGTTCACTGATGAATATATACTCATATTGACCATTCTTGAGCATTAAATTTTATGTTCATTCTAAGACGGACTCTTAAGTTCAGGGAAGTTCGGAATCCCGAATTCTAAAGCTAAATAAAGACTAGAAAGTTGAATGTTTTGTTTGCAGGTAGTTTAGAAGAAAGAGGAATGATAAAATGGCGGAATATAAAACAGGAAGTGTCGAATGTAAAACTAGACCAATCTATTTATAATCTACCTCTCATACAAGACTTTTTAAATCGCCAAACCTGGACGAATTATGTGCCTTTCTTGCCAAATTATAAAACCAAACATCAAGACGGTTCTGAGAGTTCAACAGCTAAGACTGGGAATGTGGAGTTAAAGAGTTATTCCCCTTTACCTCGAAATACAGAGATGTTTGCTGCTCAAAATAATGACAACAACCTCAACGCTGCTCAAAATTGATTAGGATTTTAGAAATACACAGCTTCGGACGTTTCATTATTTGTCGTTTCATTCTCAATATGGTGAGGCCTTTAAACAGGTACAACCCATCAGTTCAACCTGTCTACCGCATAATGAAACCAAGAAACACACGAACGTAGTTCACAGCCATTTAGAATCACAACATCGACTTATGAAGTCGATTTTTAAAAATATTATGAAATAATATTTCATCAAAGACTTCAAATCACAGTTGAAGCCATTTCCACCCCTTTTAATGTGATTTGAAGTCTTACTTAATATATCATTTCGTGGGTAACCGCTTGAAACCTCGTATATGCCATATTTGGTCATTTTGACTTTTTGGTACCGTTTGAAAGCTCGTAAAAGCGCAGATCTTGTGATCAAAACCTCGTATTCTTAGCTTGATTGTAAATAACTCAAAAAGCACTAATTAAATAACACGTATATAAACAGTCAGATTTAAAACCTTGTAAAATATATTATTATACGAGGTTCAATGTTCCTTTTCCGCGGATGAAAATGAAAAACCTCGTATACTGTATTATTATACTAGTTTTTGGTTCAATAGGCCGGAGATTTCAAATTGTTATACGAGGTTTATATTTTCAAAGAATGAAAACCACGTATAGCGGTAAATAGTTATACGAGGTTTCAAGCGGTCACCCACGATATCCCTTTTCAAAATTCAACTTAAGTCGATGTTGTGATTCAAAATGGCTGTGAACCACGTTCGTCTGTGTTATTTCCATGTAAGAACCATACTTTGAAGTGATTCAAAATGGCTTAAACTACGTTCATGTGTCTTTTTTCGAAGTTAGAACCATACTTGATTGTATATCACATAATTCCTCACGGCTTTTATTGAACAAAAACATTTGATAGGTTGAATTTTCTATGGAATGTGAACGTGTCGACCTTGATAATGTGTACAGATTTAGGATGAGTGAAAGACAAAATTGAAATTATACGTATGTAACTGAGACAGTATTTTGATCAGAATGACTTAAGCAACCATGGTGCAATCGTAATACGCCCACATTTGTAATGGCAGCTAATTTGTCCGGGAGGTTGACAAGAGTTATCAGTAAATGAATGTTTCTGAGAGTGAAATTTTCATATTTCATGGGCTTTGTTTACAGCTTACAATTCTCATAGTAAATATTTTTCGATTCGTCTGATTTTCAATAGGGTTCATCCTTGGGTGATTACAAACACTCACACCAAGTTTTGTCAAAATCCATTAAGAAACCAGCTCTCTATCATGTCCACAAACAATTCAAGAACAAAGGCAATAACTCATAGTAAATATTTTTCGATTCGTCTGATTTTCAATAGGGTTCATCCTTGGGTGATTACAAACACTCACACCACGTTTCGTCAAAATCCATCAAGAAACCAGCTCTCTATCGTGTCCACAAACACATTGTAGACAGACAGACGGACCGACTGACAGACAGACAGACAGACGAACAGGGGCGACGGCTATATACGTCCACATTAACGTGTGGGCGTATAAAAATAGACGAAACAACATGATATAGAATAACATATTCTAGGCTCATTTAGGCGTTTAAACCAATCTTTTCTTTCATACATTCGTGTGTTTTTATTTCTTTCATTTCAATGGCTGTTTATTTATATTTTTTGACACCTTTTTTTCATTTCGTTGGTCTTTTTATATCGAACTTTCGATAAACATATTAAAATCACTCAGACGTTAATTTTATGTTTTTAATCAATACAGTGAGACTTGTTCTGGGTCATATAAAAGGGGTCAAAGTTCCCTGGTTCGTTAGGCATGGCTTGTAAGAGTTGGATCTGAGCTCCAACGCGATGGTATTGTAAAGAGTTTTTATAAACTTTTTCTGTGTTTCGTGGACACTGATAGCCTTAATTTGCACCATTCTAATTTTAAGTCAGACGTCTGTGTATGTCTAAAATGTTTGATGACGTCACTTATCTCAAAGTATGCTTTATCACATAAGGCCCTTCGCGATTAGTGACGTCATCAAAAACTTAGTTTTGGTGGTATTGCAGGCACCATAGACGTCTGATTGAAAATTGGAATGGTGCAAATTGATGCTATCAGTGTCCTAGAAACACATAAAAAATTTAGAAAACCTCTTTACAATCCCTTTAAAGTGATACTACGTCTTAGAATTAACATAAAATTTAAGAATTTTAAACTTGGCGAATAAGAGCCAGTAGATATACCTGGTGTCATAAATAACATAACAGGATCCTTATATAATCCGATAAATCCAAAAAACTTAGTAATTATCCATAAATATGCAATTAACTATTGAAAAACACTTAATATTAAGATTAAGCGTTTTTCAATAATGACTTATTTTTATGAATTTTCCAATTTTCTAGATTTTACAGGGATTCTGTTGTAACTTTATGACACCAGGTAAGTTCACTGATGAATATATACTCATATTGACCATTTCGAGAACTTAAATTTTATGTTCATTCTAAGACATAGTATCAGTTTAAGAATTCTGACCTGTAACTGAATCCTACGCCAATAAAATATACAATGACTGTTATTTTAGAATCAAAATGCTTTCAGATAGGGCTGGGCGATTTACCGGTATATGACAGGAATTTGTATTGTTAGTTATATCACCTGATTAAAAAATACCGAAATATCGACATATCGTGATAATATATGGTAGATATCATGTTATATCATCAAATTTTTGTCCAGATAAGATCATCTACATAATTTTAACTAGCAAGTTAATATTTGAAACAGGTGTTTTTTTCGTGATATTCAAGACTGAGTTGTGTTTTTAGAGATATCTATTGTTTTTTGTTACATTTAAAATTTTAAGATTAAAAAAAAACCATTTTGTTACAAATACCAGCAAAAACCATGCTTAATAAATATCGTGATATATACCGATACCCATATTGTGATATATAAATGCTTAATATCGTGATATCTGAACCAATAT